ATTGGTGGAGGAGAGGTCTGTATAGATCCAGTAAAGGTAACTATAGTTTAAAACTGGTTACAACCTTAGAACCTAAAACAGGTCTAAGTATTCCTTAGGTTTGTAAACTACTACTAATACTTAAAATGTTCTATAGTAATAGAATAATCAGGAGTAGTCTACATTTGAGTCCCTCAAGTAGGCTATTACTAGTAAGTCTATATTAGTAGTTTTAACAGTTGTAGACAAGTTCTGAGTCAAAGCTAACTCTTCTAACTTTATAAATAGAGTATTACTGTCTTAGTTTATTAACAGAAAGTAGTGTCTGATAGTGTTCTAATCAGAATCCCTCTCTGTAACAGAACAGAACTACTCTATTTATAATAAAGAACTCCTTACAATTGTCTATTCTCTAGAGGAGTAGTATTAATACCTTCTTAGTACTGTACAAAGTTCAAGATTTAGAGTGATCACCTTAATCTCTAATACTTTCAGGCACCTTAGAAGCTCAACTACTGTTAGACCTGTTAGATACTAAAACTGTAGAATTATAACTTTGTACTAACACACAAACTCAGAACACAAATAATGAAAGCCAATTTACTCTTAAGACAAGTAGATTATAAAAGGAGGGAGAATAATAATGAAAATCTTGTTCTCTTAAACAATTCCTGTTTTGTGTCTAAGACAATCTGAGAGATCCAACTTGAATCTAAGAATGTTGACTTTGTCACCTGTATATAGTAAGCTCTAAGACACACACAGGACTAGGTTGTAGTAAAGTAGTTAGAGAAGCAGGCTAGAAACTAGGAGGAGGATAAGGATAGACAGGTTTACTAGACAGGCTGACTGTATATTCTAAAGGATTAGAAGCTATAAGAGAACATTGTCTAAACTTATTATAACAATCTGACTGTAGAACATTTAGACTAATACAAAATGTAAAAACTCATTACTCAGAACTACTAGTAGCTAGGAATGTAGAGGGAAATCCTAAAGTACATGACTAGTTACAATACATACTAACAGACTAAGGCCTACTAGACAAGGGTTTAGACTCTCTTAAATTTGTATTAATTTCTAGATTACTCTTAGGAAGAAGTCTTAGTAGACCTAATTAGTAAGCTACTCAAGTCTTAAGGTTACAACACTACCTGTGTAATTGTTGACTGATTCTCTAAGTAAGTTTATATGATTCTAACCTAAACAGAACTCACTTCTAAAAATATAGTGTGTATCTATTAGAATCATGTTTTCTAGTTGTACAGACTCTCTCAGAAGCTTATTCACAATTATAGACTACAATTTGAGTTAAAATTCATACAGGACTTGTATACCCTTCTCAGAATTCAAGGGAACCCTTCTACTATATATTACTTACAGACTAATAGTTAGACTAAGTAAGTCAATCAGAAGATTAAGCTCTACCTCTAAATGTTTATTAATTATTAGTAGTCAGATTAGTCTGAATAGTTAGCTCTAGCAGAATTTGTACACAATAACTAGTAACACTCTATAATAGGACAGTCTCTATTCTTCCTTAACTATAAGAGACATCTGTATTAAGAGACAGTTCTAAGTTAGAACAGTAGTTCTGAATCTGTAACAGACTTTATAGAATAAATGTGTAAGACTAAGAAGGATGTATAAGCTCTCTTAGAAAAGGTAGTACAGGTTATAAAGTAGAACTACAATTGGAAGAGGTCTGTAGCTAAGAATTACTAACCTAGTGACAAAGTTATGTTAGAAGCTACTAATCTGACCACAGAGTGTCTAATAAAGAAATTAGACAACAAGCACTTTAAACCCTTTGTTATTAAGAAGAAGGTTAGTACCTTTACTTACAAACTTTAACTCCTAGCAACCTGAAAGTACATACACCTAGTGTTTAACAAGGTTCTGTTGTCTTAGTACTATAACCCAGGTTTTCCTTTACAACAAAGACCCTTACTACCTTTACCAGAACTCATTAGTTCTGAACTAGAATACAAAGTAGAGTATATAGTAAATACTAAGTTAGTATACAGAAAGCTTAAGTTTCTTGTCTACTAGAAAGGGTACCTGGTTAAAGAATATACTTGAGAACCTACTAAGAATCTTACTTATACTACTAAGACAATCTAAGACTTTTATCAACTTTATCTAGATACTCTGTACTAACTCTGTCTTACAGATTTCTAAACCCTACTATTCTAACCTATGTCTGAACTACTAACCAAGCCTAATGTTTACTAATCAGAGTAATTAGTTTTAGAGAGAGGGTAATGTTACAGTTCTCTACTCTTATACTCTCAGTTTTACAGGTTCTACACTCTTTTATACTAGAACTTAGGACTTCTGTCTCTTGAGTGTACTATTTATAGACTATATGTAAACTGACTCTTCTTATAACTCCTACTACCACCCCTCTTTCTTTATTATTCTGTTCTTTTAACTATCCCTTTATTCCTTGTTCATTCTATAGTCTCTTACCCTTTGTCTATCCCTTCATTCTTTGTACATTTATCTTTGACCTTTCCTTCCTTTATTCTTTATAGCTCATCATTCTTAGTAGCTCACCATTCCCTGAGTACTCTTGTGTAGCTTAGTATATATAAGTATACAAGATTAGACTAGTCCTATAGTCTTGATCTTATTTACTCTAAGTAGTTCTATACTCTTAGACTCACTCTATATACTCTACACTTGTCTTACTCTCTCTTCTACCTGTTCTACAAGTTCTGACTACATTCTAGTACTTGTGTTCTGTATTTCTGTTGTGTAGGATAGTTGTAGCCTGGGTCCCCTTACTAAGCCTTAAGGTCCTCTCTATACTGTTACTAACAACAGTTTAATAGGTTGATACTCAGATTTGGGTTTTCTAATATAAAACATATCTTAAACTTGTTCCATAACTGTAATAGTACTACTGTATTCAGAAGGGGTTATAGTGTAAATAGCTACTCAATACATAGTGTCTGTAGGTTTTAAATTGTCTACTACTAGTTGTACATATATCTAGTCTAGTTTATTAAGTACTTGTCCAAAGTTTTTAACATGATTATTACATTTAAATAGTAAAGACTCATCATATACTTTATGTGTAACTGTATAAGGGTTGAAGCATTCTTCTAATCCACTCATAAGAGTTTTAATCAATGTTCTAGTATGTATAAAGTTAGTCATTATATGATCCACTACTTTATCAATTATTAATGTATAAATTATATACACAACCTTTATGTCTTTAGGCTTTAGTTCATTTGTAAACAAGTGTATATAGCCTGTTACTGTAATAGTAGAGTTAATCTGATACTTCCATATTTTGAATCCAGATGTGTCTTTTAGTTGTGTAATATTGTGTCCAAAGTGTTTAGAAACATTGGCAGGTTTGTAGTAAGTAGGATTTGTCCTGCTTGTCTGTTCCAGGGTTGTAGATGGATTTGTTTCAGTTCTAGTCAATGTATGTGTATTGTGAGTACTTAGTGAGTCTATCATAGATGCATAGTATTAATACAAAGTAGTATAGTATAGTCTTGTAGTAGTAATATAAAGTGTTAAGTAGAGAGTACAAGGCTTATAACCTGTTAGAATGTGTATTCTTAAGTTGTCACACAAGTAATGAGGGCATAGACCCTGATAATAATATGTATTTAGTTAATAAGTTGTTTGTTTTTATGTTATTTGTCTGTCTGTATGTCTTAAATATCTAATGTCTCATTATCTCATATCTGATACATGTCTTGTATTGTGTATCTGATACATGTTTCTTAGTTCTGTGTCTGTTCTGTTAATTCTGTGTCTGTTCTGTTTGTATGTGTATTAATTGTTTTACTAATACTGTAGTGTCTGTAATTGTATCATCAATCATAATACATGTTAACACTATAGTAAGAGGTGTAATTCCTGTACAGAAATCCATAACAAACCTGTTCCATACTCTGACACAGTTCTCAAACTCAAGTGTAACAGTAAAATCTCCCTTATAGTTGAGAGTATAATGTAGTTCTGTAACAAAGAGATATAGAATCTTCTAGTATAACATAAAGCAGATATGTCAAGGATGTAACACTCTAAAAGATCCAAAGATATAGGATTGATCAGTATAGTAAGAGTCATAATTGTACAAGAATAAAAGGTCTGTATAAGTTACAGAAATCACAAGAGTATTACAGTGTGTGAGATCCATAGTGACACTGGTAATATTGACAGATCAATTGCTACAACTATCAGAGACAACCTTCACATTGTAATACTGTTAAGGAAATAACTGATCACCTTTATAGATCTCAAGTTAGGTAACTAGGCAGCAAATAATTTCTGTATAGTATGTAGTTGTAAGGTCTAGAAAGAGAGATATTCTTGATCAAACTATTAACATTACAGAAGTCTAAAGAACTGGAGTCAATCATGATATCAAACACAGAAAGCTTTGAGAGTACAACTGGTAGCCATGTAGAGCTTATATATACTTGATGTTTGACAATATTAATAATTCATGAGTGTGATGCATAACCCTTAAAGTTGCTTGTGCAACTCTAAGAAGTCCAATAACTCTGCTAGATAAAATTTGTTATACTTTAAAGTAAAGTAGACAAAGGTTTTGCAGATGATTGGTTATGAACAACATCTCTAATTATTAACATTTGGAGACAAAGTGTAGTAATGTCTGTGTAAAACATTTGAGAGAGAGTAGTGTCAATATACAGAGTACACAGATTCAAAAGTCAGCCCCTAAAGATGCAAGAACAGTCTACAAGTACTACAGGTTAATATGTACTTACAATGTCCAACTCTTTAACATGAGGAAGTAATGAAAAAATTGTCTCTATTGAACAGTCAAAGTCCTAGCCTATTTCCAGACAGACCCTCAGAGAGTAAAGGCCACCATGTTGAGCAACGTTGAGAATTTTATCGGGATTCCAAAAAGATCAAATCTAGTGCTTACTCCACATTAATATTGATTGCAAACCCGTGACAATCCGGTAAAAGTGTTTACAGACGTGTAATAGCTTCACAGTCCTCCTAATATCAGTGGCAGCATGAAAGAGTATATCCTCAAGTATTTCGTCCGGGAGTATATCCGCTGGGAGTATAACGAGCTCAGTCTGTTCGTGAAACTGCATAGTGCAGACATTGGACAGTACATTGACATAACGGAGTTTGTTCGATCTCGGAAAGCGTTTTCGGATACGCCGAAAAATTTTCATTGTATAGGATCTATACGCATTGCGATCTTCCACACTAAATGATAGATGTCAGAGTCATTCATTGCCTGAGTCAGCTGAAAGCGTATAAGGGCGTATTTCAACTCGAACTCACAAAGAATCCAGTATGTTCCTCCTCGTGTCAATCAATACTTTTTGGCAGTCGGGCATTGATTCTTTTCCACAGGGGGATGCAAGATGTAGGAATGAAAGTACTTCGCGTTTGGCTTGATGGACAATCCACAGCAACAACAAAGGTACGAATCGAGGCGAGGCGTAGATTATCGACTGACTTGGACCTGCTAGGGAACAACCATCACAGAATATCCTTCGCTGGAACCCAACCAGATCGGCGTGTTCAACGATAAAACTCTTGTCGTCGTGAGTGCTTGTTCAAACATTGATTGAGTGATTCACCTCTCGACTCACAAGTATCACCCCTTGATCATGGATGTCACGTGCAAATACTCTAGCAACATGGATGCTAAAATCGTAAAAATGCAAAAGCAATATCAATCAGATAAAACAAAAACCGTCTGTTGTCCTAAATAAATACTATCTGCCCTGTCCACTACGCATGCATTTGTATGCTTGTGTGTGTCTCTGTGGTATGAAATAAAAATAAAATGAGATGTGGTGCAAAATAAGACAAGTAAAACAGCAAAGCAATAGACAAGGAAAAAAAAACATACATGCAAGAATTGACGAAAAAGAAAGGTATGTGCAAATCGAAAAAGGAGAAGAACAGAGCGGGGGCGAATAATTCAACGAGGAAAGATAAGTCCGATCATAATGCACAGTACGAGTACCAATTGAAATATAATAAAGACAAAGAGACGAGTTCGTTCATCACTCGAGAAACAAAGCCCAACGTTGAATCTGTCAAGAGCAAAACACACAGCATAAAACAGTCTCCAAATAGCGCCCAAAACAGATACGACTAAACCAAACCACGATAGATCACCCGAGCATTGCATCGTATCGCGTCATAGCAAGGTCTTCCACCCATTGTCTTTGGCGCGTTTCACGAGTCGCTTCACTTCTTGCGATCGCGCACGCGTCGTGACCATCAACGCATCAGGCATATCGACGATAACAAGATCGTCCACACCCAAACATGCGACAAGTCGTCCAGAACCTGGGACAACGATCCCACCTGCGACTTGTTCTGCCAAAACTATACAATAACATCAATATAGTCAGAAAAGTGCAGAAAAGACTTGTGACGGCTGTGAAATATTAAGCAGATGAAACATACCGAGACTTGAGTCACCAAGTACTTTTGGTTGATTGGCTTCTGCAGGAAGCCTTTCCGACAAAGACGAGAAGTCTCCGACGTCATCCCACCCGAAGGTCGCAGGTACAACAGCAACACGTCCTTCCGAAGCTGCGGGCTCCGCAACAGCATTATCAATCGGAATCTTCTCCAGCCCGGGCCAGATTTCCTCAAGCACCTCCCTTCTCTTCTCCTCGTCATCCCAACACTCTGCGATTCGCGATAGCCCCTCAGCTATTTCTGGCTTGTACTCTCGAAGGAGGTCCATGAGAAGCGCAGCACGCGTGACGAACATACCCGCATTCCAGCGGTACGAGCCCGTAGCGAGGTACGTCGCTGCAGTGCGTGCATCCGGTTTCTCTTTGAAACTTCCCACGAGTCGTGCATTCGGTGCATTTGGCAGCTGCAAAGATTCCCCTAGACGGACATATCCGAACGCTGTAGCAGGATGACTTGGTGCAATTCCAATTGTCACGAGATAACCCGAACGGGCGACCTCGACTGCCTCGGCGACGGCAGACAGGAACGCGTCCGTGCCTGAAATCATATGGTCCGCGGCGAAGGAACCGATCACAGCATCCGGATCTCGTCGTGCAAGCACAGCAGCAGCAAGCCCGATGGCGGCCATCGAGTCCTTCGGGCCCGGCTCAATAAACAAATTATTCACCGCAAGGTCTGGAATCTGCTCCCGAATCGACTGCGCGTGTGCCGGGCCGGCAACAACCGTCGTGCGTGCGGCAGACGCAAGTGGCAAGAGACGATCCCATGTCGACTGGAGAAGTGATCTTCCGCATAAGTTGACATCTAGTAAGAACTTTGGATGGTTCTCGCGTGAGAGCGGCCAGAGGCGTGTTCCTGCGCCACCAGCAGGGATGACGACGTAGAAGCCCGGGATTTCACGATCGGCGTGGGGATACGAAACTAAAGCTCTGTCACCGAGTGGAGAAGGAACGCAGAGAAGAGGAGGCGAGGGAATCCGGTGGGCTGGAATTGCGCTTAGGAAGGGTGATTTGTTGCGGAGTTTCGGCGAGCCTGGAGGGGGTGTGTGAAGCCCATTGCCGTTGTAGTGGAAGTACCCGTTCTGATGGCCATTCTAAAGCAGCGATTAATTACTTTTAAGACGTCCAATTTATGATTGTGCCTACCGTTGAAGCATCCTTTACGAGCCGTTCAAGGTTGGCGTTGGCAATGCGGAGTTCGTTACATTGTTGGCGCAGTTCTGCAATCTCGCTGTGCTATTTAGGGAGAATGGCATGAGCAAAGGAATCGCGGAGCTGCTAGACAAGGGAGATAGAATAGACACTGCGGAACAGACAAGGCTGCTTCGTCTTTCTGGCAGCGATGTCTGCACATGGCATCGGAGCCGAAGATGCTTCTATCTTGCCTGTATTATAGGATCTGCTATCTAGAGAAGCCAGCATATGACTTCCTGTCCCAGACAAGACGACATCTCGTGGAAAGCCGAGTATGGACTCCTTGCATCTCGTGTCAGCCGAGAGACCTAAACTACACCATCCGGCAGCTGTATTTCCCTTCACGCTTCCGATCACGGCTTCTGCACAGTATACCAACGTCATACCTGTCACCATCGTAGACGAGAATGTGTGCCACAGCGCGGCCCGTATCCAGCATGCTCCGAGATGCCTAACCGACAAACTCACAGTACTACAGACAGAAACTCACCGACTTCTGAACAGTGTCCATGATCTTTTCGAACATGGCCTCAACGCTCGGCGGAGCAGTTGAGCGCGCCATGGTGTGCTTGGTCGTAGGTGAGAAGCCAAGGCTGGGAGAGGAGGAGAAAGACATTGCGTAACAGAAAGCAATGTGGCAAAGTAATGCGACGATGACAGCAGGCAGGCGGAATGAAAAAAGAGTGTGGACGAAACTACAGTGCGTCGAACTGTGTGGGGGGTTAAATAGCAAAACAGAAACGAGCAGAGCAAAGAGTCAGGTGTCGCTCAGTTTGGCGGCCGGCGTTTGTGCGTGTGTGGCAAAAAATGAACGTGAAGCAAGGTAACGGGATGCGCCTCCCGTCAAGACTCAATTCGATCCTTTCGGATGCACTCCATTTTTAGCCCCTCAAGAAGCGAATGTGACTTCTCCAGCTATTCTATTTTCTACTTTCTTCCTATTTTCTCCGCTGTCTTACCAAGAATAATGCACTCCTCTCTCTTCCATGCGCACAAAATATTGCTTGCATGCCTCGGACTCATGCGCAGCCCGTGTTTCATCCCGTTGCAACAAACATCATTTACCTTCTCCTAAGCGACAAGCACAGCTTTTGTTGACGTGTCCTCTCTCGTTTATTTTAATTTTCTCATGTCGGCTCTCGCGGGAGCTGCGTTTGTGCATGGGCCGTGTACATCTCCTCTCGCTTCGGGGAGGTCCGCAGTTAGTCCTGAGAATGAGACACGCAGCGCGATTTCCGCCGGTTTGATACTACGGAGACCAAAACGATTCCTAAATTTATAACGATATCCACTTTACTTTGGAGCCTTACTCCTCATTTATTGACTGATTGCAACCTGCTTGTTAATACAATGTAGCACTACCCACGTCTCCGACAAAATATCCGAGAAACAGGCTTTTTCGTTCGAGATGTTTTTCTCCACCGAAGGCTACTTCGGTAACGATTGAGGTCATGATACCACACTACCACACACTAATGCAAATATGTCATTGCACAGAAGATCAGTGAAATGTTCCGTCCTGATCCTCGAGGAATCAAGGTGGTTACCAACACATCCATTATTCTTAGCATCCGCATTCGTGTCAACGTGGATCCACGCATAACAATTTCGATTTTCTGGGGGGATGTATGCATGCTTACATCATGTACGGATGCAATATCATTTTCATTTCTTTGGATTGGAAGATTTCAATGCGCGAGGAACATAATTCGGATTGGTAGTAATCTGATGAGTGACGAGGAATTGACTGTAATCAACCCGCTACTCATCTGGATCCACGCGTTGAACAGTTACAGATAAAAAGAAGTACCAGATAAGGTTCAAGTTTTTCGACGTAGGTTCGAGGTGACGTTAAGAGAGAGGATAGGAACGTTGAAGATGCGATCCATGGGATACTTCACAGCACGTATGATTTCAAGAAGAAAAACAAAACTGAGAGACGGCTTTAATTACAGATCACATCCACTACAAGAAGCTCACGATACCAGAACCAACAATCAAGGCACAGACAAGACCGTATGCATTAACGTATCGTAGTTCATCTGGACCCATGCTCTGCGTTGAGTATCAAGATGATGGAAGGGCTCAGTAAGCTTGATCACAATGCAGGCATGGACAAAGCAATCAAACGCAACGTCAGGAGGCAGTCCTGGGCCACAGCAATTCGTTGACTCAGTAGCTGCAACATCTACCCCGATGGGTAAATTTGTCAGCAATAGTGGACCTTACCACCACAGAAAGGGAAATGAAGTCTGGCTAGCTGTAATTTGCAAGAAGTAAGTATTAAGTTGTAGTGACAAGTTATATCCGAGCAGACAAGGGGAAGGAAATTATAGAGACGACGCAGACGCATGATTGATGGGAGATGCAATTCCGAATTGTCTCCCCCTGTCGAAGTAACGGAAGACATTCTGTCAGTCCATGAATGTACTTTCAGAGTCCAGCGAACTGGGATCGCACGTAAACAGCGTTTCAGGCCTTAACCCTCATCGCATATACCCACCTCATTGAATCCAATTGTGCCACTTCTGTCCGTATCCTTTGTATGGACTCAAAGATCTGTTACGAGGGTAAGAATAACAATGTGTGCAAGAAGATAGTCATCACCGGCTTGGCATTATCGAGAGCAAAATTTTGTTATCGCGAGAACATCACTGTAATAACAGCCCATAATGTGCACGTCGTTAAATGCACCTACGTGTCGCATCGCCATTAATCAAACACTGCTGCATGTCAGATGCAATTTCAGCACCATTATTATCAGTCTCGACAGATGTGAATCATTGTCAGACTCATTGTGTTCGCAGATAATTATGCCAGTTGGGCCTATATAATCAAGCGAGACAAGGCAAAATGCACTGTGGTTCCGCGCCAGGCGGTCGGTAGGCTTCTAGGGTGCCTGACTGAGAAGCCGCTAGGTCCACCACCTGGAGGCTTATCCGCCTCCGCCATAGCCTGGAGAATCAGTGGAGATACATCTTGATAGGCAGAATACTGAAAAAGTTCAGGTCAGAGAAACATACTCTCTGAACAACCACTAGATAAAGCTTGCGTAGGACATTCCGTGTGTGCTTAATTGAGTTGAGTTGGATAATTAGATCACCAGAAAGATGGCCGCAGACGGGCGCTCGTTCATCGCCTGAAATGTGAGATTTGCTATCCAGAGAAGCCAGTATATGAGTTGTTGTACCAGACAATGAGCCACCTCGTGAAAAGCCAACGTAATTCCATTGCATCCCGTGTCAACCGTAGGATATTGCATATCGGAGAGTAAATTGTGTGATGATGGCAGCAGGCGACCTTTATCCCTCATGTCGAATCGTTTACTTAAAGTTATGTACAATGGGCACATAGATTTACACCTATTACCTATTTTGGCATGCAAGCCGCGGCTTAGTAACGGGTTGTGAGACTATCCTGGACTGCTCCAACACTCGTGTCTTTCCAATTAGCAACACTCCGCTCAGCATACATGAAGCCTCTGAAAAAATCTCTCTTGAAAGCTGGTGCTGAGCCAGTCATGCCAAACAATGCCGACTCAGACAATAGCCTGGCTTCTCTCTACCTCATCGCTTGGAAAGCCAGAGATCCTGGAGGCGTTTTTCACAAATTCCCAATTACTCGTGACGACGATGCCAATCGTGTGCCGCTATCCTTACCCGATTCAGTCACTGCCCTGTCATGGACCGTTGAGGGTTCTACTCCAGATATTTTGGAAGCCAACTTTCAATGCACTGCAGTTTACATCAGGGAGGAGTATACGGTCATGCTGTCTGCGCTCTTAAAGGCTCTCCATAAATCCGGAGGCGATGCATTTGGATATGATAGAATCGATGCCAAAGCATTCCAAGATAAATTTCCCCCTGTCAACCCATTCGAGAAAATGCAGGTCCAGAAGGTTACCGCGTGCAAAGCACCTTGCATTGTTGTCACCAGAACCCCGGGAATTGGTGAACTGCTTTCAAGGTTGTTTTCTGTTATGTGCATTATTTATCATATTTGTAGGGAAGAGCCTATTCTTGTACTATATACTTGCCTTGCGTCTCCTTGCGCAGAAGTCGACTGTCCTGCTTTACAAGCAAGGATATTGCCTCATTTTCCATGAATGTGGAGTATACTCCACAACGCTTGATCAAATGTGTACAGTGGTTAATCTCTTGCCGATGGAAACTTGGTTTTTGTTCGACAGCAACGAAGGCGTCTGTCGCCCACCTCATTTCCTAGAGGGGAATGTAGAACTACGCCTCGGCTCATTGTTGTCGCAACATCACCAAGGATAGAACGGATGACGTTTAACAAGGACCCAAATAGTCCTCGACTTTGGATGCATCCTTTTAAAGAGAAAGAGCTCTACGAAGCGTAAGTACATAATACTCATTATAATTTCGAATAGTGATAACATACCATGGTTCTACAGGATGGGTATGCAACTCAGGCGGCTGAAGGAAATACAATTACGAGCCTTTTTTGATAAATTCGGCCCTGTTGCGCGTGAAGCGTTCCAATTCTCTCGGAATCTAGATGGTTACGAAAATATTATTCTATTTGAACTTGGCTTTACTTCGCTAGAAAGTCTTCAACATCGCATTGGCCAGGTGGTCTATGGTCATTCCGATAGCGGTTTGTCTCATAAAATGCTTGCTACTTACCCTACGGATGACAGTGATCATACCGATTTCAATGTTGCGATTCCTACGAAGAAACTTGCAGATTTGGTTTTTAGTCGCCTTATGGTACACAATATGCAAGAAGCTAGGACGGTTTGCAGTATATTCCTCCGATTCCAGAAGTCAAGGGCTGTTGCTAGCTACCTGCTGGAACCATTCACCTTAAAGGTTCTTCCGGATGGTGATCAATGGTCCATGACAAAGATGGATAGAACTGATGCACCAGCAAAAAATACACATTGGAAATTCAACCCCGCAGGCGAGAAGTATGTCCTTCGCATTGGCCACATAGGAATTTTTTACCAGAAACTTTAGGGTGACCCTGATGCACCGGTGTCAGAGACCTTTGATCTCGTAGGTTATCAGTATCTTGAGAAGGACAGACCTCCGCCACAGGAGGTTGGATTTTATGTACCAACTGCAGCAAGTCAGCCCACCTTCGACGCAGTTGCGCGTGTCAACGACGCAGCCAACCCTTTTGTCATTTTCCAAATGACGTGCGACAAAAGTCATAAAATTAACTCTATTGGTCTGAACTGGGTGGGACAAGGTAAAGTGGACATCATAGTTGTCACAAGCTGGGATGGTGGGGAAGATATAGAGGTGCCCAAACAAGTAGTAGGTAAAGTGGCAGGTATATATCGATTGATATTGTTTACGAGCCTCTGGTAGTCCCGTCGACCGCGGTAATACCGTTGTATCACCTTAAGTACATTGGAAATGCAGACAGTAGTTAAGCGTGCATGAAAAGAGCGTGGATGGATGGCGTCGAACGTGTCGGCCGAATAGCAAAACAGAAAAGAGCAGAGCCAGAGTCAGGTGTCGCACAGAGTCCGACTCACGCAGCAATAACTCCTGATTTTGTAAACGCAATTACTTTTTTTTTAGAGCCTTGTCTCTCATTTATTGACTGAATGTATCTTCTTTATTACTATAATGTGGTGCAGCTCCGGTATAATACCCGGGAAATTACTTTGGTAACGATTGAGATCATAATACCCCATGCCAATGCGAAAATATGACATTACACAGAAGATCAGTGAAAGTTTCTGTCCTGATCCTGGAGAAGTCAAATTGGTCACCAATATCCAGTGTTTGCAAGATCCATGGATGACAATCCTAATCATCCAACTACCTTCTGTACACACACTCGCGTTATGCCTGCTCATGCAACACTATCAGAATTGGAATGTTCAATGCACAGGAAATCCAGGCTCAGTTGTATTAATTAAGAAGAGATTGACTGTAATCAAGCAGATATACACTCGAAACTCACGAGTTGAGCAGTGACAAGAAAAATGGTATCGAATAAGCTTGGAATTTTCCGACGTGGGTTTAATGAAACATTAAGAAGAAGGGTAGAAACATTAAAGATTCAACCGTTAGATATTTTACAGTAAATGTGGTAAAATAGAAAACTCTGATTGGAAGCACGTTTTCTTACGGAAGATTCACTGTACAAGCCCACGGTATGACAATCAAGGCGCAGGCAGGACGGCATGCATGAACGTAACGTAGTTCATCTGGACCCATTCACCATGTCGAGTGTCGAGACGTTGGAAGGACTCAGTGAGCTACTTGATCACGACGCGAGCACAGACAACGCAATCAGATATGATTCCAGGAGGCGGTCCTGGGCCACGATGGTCCGTTGGCTCGGTAACTACAACATCTACCCGGACGGGTAGAACTCGTCAGCAACAGTGGATCAGATCACAGAAAGATATAAAAATTCGGCTAAAAGTACTTTGTAAGGAGAAGATGCATAAGTTGACAAGATGTATCTGAGTAGAAAATAATTAGGAGACTGTTAGAGTGGTTAATATAAATCCGGATTGTCTTAAAGCATTATTGAGCTCCTAGCCGTCTATGATTCCTACTAAGCGATCTTTGTCAAGACGCCCTGTCAGTCCTTGATGTACTTCCACAAGCCAACAAACGAGACTGCACGTAGTCAGCATTATATGCTTTGATCTTAGACGCTTATGCACACCTCATTGAGCCTAATAGTAGCACTTCTATCCGTATTCTTGGCATGGATTCAACAATATATGCGCACGAAGATGGTCATCAAGAGCTTGACAGTATCGAGATCAAAAGGTGGTCTTTTATATTGCAAGAACATCATTCAACAACAGCCCACAGCGTACACCTCGTAAATCTTGCTCTCGGGTCCAATCGCCAGCAATGAAGCGTTGCTACAGTTCAGAGGCAGCTAATTACCACTACTATGACGTGGACCATCGCGAAAGTCTTTGTTTTCGTGCATGACTGTGTTAGTTAGGCGCATATAGTCAAGTAAGACACATAAAAGGGCACTGACCTGTTCCGGACGGTGGACCATTAGGACCTCCGGCTAAGGATCCACCTGGACCACCACCTGGAGGTCCATATCCGCGTCCGCCGTACTCTGTGGAGAGGATGTCCGTAATCACCCCCGCCAGGAGATGCATCTCTTAAGCCAGAATACTGCAAGGGTTCAGGTGAGAGAAACATACTCCGCACAAGCACACGAGATTAAGCCCCTGTAGGACATTCCCTATGTCTTGAATCGAGTCGAGTTGGGTGATGATCAGAAAGATGTCTCAAACACGTCAAGGCCATAAGACGACGGGTTCTCGTTCATCGCCTGTAATATTAGATTTGCCATCCAGAGTATATGAGTTCTTGTTCCAGACAGGACGACATCTTGTGGAAAGCCAAAAATCATTCCCTTGCATTCCGTGTCAGTCGAAGGAAATTGTGAAACGTTGAGCAAAATGGCAGCAGGCCGACGTTAAACCATTTATAGATTTACTCCTATTGCCTATTTTGGCATGCCATTCGCGGATATGAGCGTACAGCTTGTTAATGGGTTGTCTCACCCCATCATGCCGGACAGCTCCTGTACTTGCACAACACTCATAGCTAGACACTGTTGGCAATTTTTTTCTAGGCCTAGGCAGAGATGAAGCCTCTGAAACGATCTCTCCTAAAAGCTGGTGCTGAGCCAGTCATACCAAACAATGCTGACTCGGATCACAGCCTGGCTTCTCTATACTTCATCACCTGGAAAGACAGGGACCCGGGAAGTGTTTTTCACAAATTTCCAATTGCTCGTGACGACGATGCCAATCGTGTGCCACTAACCTTACCCGATTCAGTCCCTGCCCTGTCATGGACCATCAAGGGTTCTATTCCGTATATTTTGGAAACCAGCTTTATGTGCAACGCAATTTACATTAGGGAGGAGTACCCCGTCATGCTGTCTGCTCTCTTCAAGGCACTCTATGATTTTGGAGGTGATGCATTTGGATATCATCGAATCGACGTCAAAACACACCAGGATGAATTTCCTCCTGTCAACCCGTTTGGGAAAATGCAGGTCCGAAAGGTTCCGTTGGCCAAAGCACCTTTTATTGTTGTCACCGGAACACCAGGAATTGGTGAGTTGCTTTCAAGGTTGCTTTCGGTGTGCATTGTTTATTATTTTTGCAGGGAAGAGCATGTTCCTGTACTACAGTCTCGCTTTGCGTCTCCTTGTACAGAAGTCAACTGTCCTGCTTTATAGGAAAGGACGGTGCCTTATTTTCCATGAATGTGGAATATATTCCATGACGCTTGATCAACTGGATACTGTGGTTGGTCTCTTGCCGATGGAAACTTGGTTTTTGGTCGATAGCAATGAAGACGTCGTTAGCCCACCTGATTTCCTCATCGCACAGTGCAGAACTACTCCTCGACTCATTGTTGTTGCAGCGTCGCCAAGAATAGAACAGTTGGAGTTTACGGACGACTTTAATGCTCCTCAACTCTGGATGTATCCATTTAAAGAGAAAGAGCTCTACGAATCGTAAGTCACTAATACTCATCATAATTCTACTACTAGCCACATACTATGGTTTCTACAGGATGGGTATGCAGCTCAGGCGGCAGAAAGAAATTCAACTACAAGCCTTTTATGAGAAATTCGGTCCCATTGCACGCGAAGCGTTCCAATTTTCTGGAAACCTGGACGGTTACGAAGATATCATTCTACGTGAACTTGGCTCTACTTCGTTGAAGAGCCTTCCAGACGTAATTTGCTGGGCAGCCAGTGGTAATTGTGAAGGCGGTTGGTCCCACAGGGTGCTTGTTACTTACCCTAGGGATGACAGTGATCGTACTGAATTCAATATCACGATTCCGACGAAGAAATTTAGAGATTTGGTTCTTGGTCGCCTTATAGCACACACAGTGCAAGAAGCTAGGACGGCTTGCAGCTTATTCCTTTTAAACCAGAATACGAGGGCTGTTGTTGGCCATTTGTTGGGGCCAATCTCCTTAAGGATTCTTCTGGACGGTGGTCAGTGGTCCATGAGAAAGATGCATAGAACTGATGCACCACCGAAAAATACGCATTGGAAATTTAACCCCGCAAGCGAGGAGTATGTCCTTCGCATTGGACACACGGGTGTTTTTTTTGCAGATACTTCAGGGTAACCCTGATGTACCGGCCTCAAACAACATTAAATCTGTAGGTTATCAGAATTATGAAAAAGACAGTCCGCCGCCACAGGAGATCGGGTTGCATGTACCAGTTGCAGCAAATCAGCCCACCTTTGATGCGGTTGCGCGTGTCGACGACACGGTCAACCCTTTCGTCATTTTCCAAATGACGTGCACCAAAGCTCATAAACTTAGCTCTACTGGTCTGAACTGGGTGGGACAAGGTAAAGTGGACATCATAGTCGTCACAAGCTGGGATGGTGGAGAAGATATAGAGATACTCAAGCAAGAAGCAGATAAAGTGAGAGATGTATATTATTTGGTCTTGTTTACAAGGCCACGAACGTCCCTTTAACTGATAATGCTGTTGTAATTATGACCTGTACATCAGAAATTTAGTCAGTAATTGAACGTACATGAAAAAATATAGCGAACTGGCGTCGGGCATGTGGAGTTACTAGCAACACAGGAAGAACAGAGCCGGAATCAGGTGTTGCTCAGTTGGCTGCTGGCGTTTGTGTGTGAGCGGCCAAAATGAACGTGAAGCTACCAGTATGCACCTCCCGTCAAGATTCGATTGGATCCTTTTGGACCCACTCTGTTTTTAGGCCCTCGCCTCGAGGACTGAACGTCACTTCTCCAACTACTCTACTTCCGTCTTCTTCCTATTTTCTCTGCGGTCCTCCTACAACAAATAATAATGCAAGTAGCTCGTTCGTCCTACGCGCACAAGGTATCGTGTGTATTCACGCCTGCCTCAGATCCTTACGCAGGACGATTCCTGCCAGTCCGGTGTATGAGTCCTACTCACACAGCAGCGACTCCTAATTTTATAAATTCAATTTACTTTGTTTTTGAGCCTTATCTCTCATTTATTCACTGAATGTATCTTCTTTATTACTGTAATGTGGTGTCCTGCTCGGCTCCGACATAATTTCCGGGCGGGAAACAGGCTTTTTCCGTGCATCTTCTTGAAACTACTTCGGTAACGATTGAAACAATAATACCACACGCAGATGCGAAAATATATCATTGTACAGAAGATCGGTGAAGGGTTGTGTTCCAATCCTCGAGAGGGCAAGGTGGTCAACAAAAAACATCCAGTGCCAATGCTTGTATGGTCGGACTCGTATCAACGTGCATCCACGTTTGACAATCCCAATCATCCATATTGCCTTATGAATGAATGAGTGTATGTATGCATACTCACAATATGCCTGCATATGCAACACTTTCAGAATTGGAAGTTTTAATGCACAGTCAGAGCTGTGGTGATCTGAAATTGAGAAGAAATTGACTGCAATCAAGCAGATACACGAGTTGAATATCGACAAGAAAAAGAGTATTGAATAAGCTTGTGGTTTTTCGATGTAGATTTAATGAAAAAGTTAAGAGGAAGATGAACATGTTGAGGACACAACCTTTAGATACTTTACAGCAAATTTGGTGAAACAGAAAACTCTGGCTGGAAACACGTTTTTCTTACGGAACATTCATTGTAGAAGCTCATGATACGATGGCCGATTAAGGCGCAGACAAAACCGTATGCATGAACGTGTCGTAATTCATCTGGACCCATCCGCTACGCTGAGTGTCGAGGCGTTGGAAGGACTCAGTGAGCTGCTTGATCACGACGCAAGCGCGGACGAAGCGGTCAAACGTAATTCCAGGAGGCGGACCTGGGCCACGACGGTTTGTTGGCTCGGTAGCTACAACATCTACCCCAACGGGTAGAATTTCGTCAGCAACAACAAATCGCGCCACAGAAAGAGGATTGAATTTGGGCTAACCGTATTTTGCCAGGAGTAGATGCATAAGTTGCGGTGACAAGTTATACCTGAGCAGGAAAGAAGGCAGTTTGGGAAATCGTTGAAGACGAATGATTGTTAAATAAGAGATACAAACCCGAATTGTCTCAAGGCGTTGTCGAGTTCCTGGCCATCGATGGATCCTGAACGATCCCTGTCGAAGTGACGGAAGACACCCTGCCAGTCCTTGATGTACTTCCAGAGGCCAGCAAACTGAGATCACACGTAATCAGCACTATGGGAGATAATGTTCAGCGCATATACACACTTCATTGAATCCAATCGTGCCACTTCGATCGGTATCCTTCACACGCATTCAGCAAATTTGTGCATGAGGAGAAGAATAGCGGTGTGCTCACGAAGATAGTCATCAACAACTTGACAGTATCGAGATCGAAGGCTGTTATCGCAAGTAAATCACTTCAACAAAGGCCCGCAGCATGTACCCCGTAAATCGCACTTACGCGACCAATCGCCATTGATCAAACACTGCTGAAGCTCAGAAGCAGTTATCGCACCACTATTATCAGCATCGACGGACGTGAACCATTGCCAGAGCCTTTGTTTTCATGGATTGTCAAGTTAGTTGGGCGCATATAGTCAGTGAGACACGCAAACACACTGAGGGTCGGCGCCAGGCGGTGGTCCACTAGGACGTCCGGCTGAGAAGCCACCGGGTGCACCGCCTGGGAAACCACCAGGTCCACCACCTGGAGCTCCGTAACCGCCTCCGCCGTAGGCAGGGGGTGCACCAGGAGGAGGCGCGTAGCCACCACCACCAGGAGGTGCGTCCCTATAGCCAGAATACTGTAAGAGCTCGAGTCAGAAAGCGATGTTCGCTGTAAATACACGAGATAAAATTCACATAGGACATGCTCTGTGAGTTTAGCTGAGTTGGTCGATGATCGGATAGAGATGACTGTAGATGACGTTGAGCTTTTAAGACGACGAGCGCTGGTCCATCTTGCCCAAGACCACAAGACCAGTGCCGCTCGGCCGGCAATCTGCTGATTCTGCACGGACAGCGCACTGCTTTAGGGTATAGTTGCCTTTTTTGATCAAAGGCGGACCTGGCCAATGATCCTTTCACACACGATTATCTTGTCGATTACGGACAAAGATGTGAGGACTTTGACAGCTGAAAAGCTTTGTACTAGTCTTCCCATGAGGTCAATCCGCAGTGATGAGACCATTCAGAATCGGAAAGATTCCCAACACAACAATCCAGGTGAGTGTAATGCTGTATGTGGAGTAATGGCTTTGCAATTATCTTCCTTTATCCTTTCTATTCCATTCGAACGATAACTCCTGAAAAAAAATCTGGGGTCATTTCCAGGTAAAACTTGCAGGCTCACTCCATTGACTAAGGCTTGATTAATGTTGAATTCAAATTTTTGTCGATGAAAAGTAATCACGTGCGCATAAAAGTCATGTGACCTTGCAAGGCCTTTAATGCATTGGGGCGTTTGTTGCTCTCCTACCAAGCACAACTGTGTTGAGCTGATGCATACCAGCCTATTACTCGATCCTCGGCTGGAACTTTTATCTTGCAAGATTTCGAGTTTACATGGTAAGAGAAGCCCACGTCACGCGTTCGAACTTTGGCTGAATGACATGTCTAGTCGCGTCGCGATGACGGTTACGCAGTTCTTCCAACGGATGAACGTGTAAATACTTCGGAAAGGCATCCGTCTCGAATAGTCGACAATGGCATTTTCCAAGTTCATGATGGCACTAATGGAACACAGAGCTATTCTTATGCGTATGGCCCAGGTGGTGTGACAGGTCTGCGAAAGAACCCATACACATTAGCAAGTGCCGTGTTAGCGTCCTTTGGTGGTCTATTGTTTGGTTACGACCAAGGTGTCATCGCAAATGTGCTAGTGATGAGGGATTTTAGACAAAGATGGGCAATGACGGACTGGCAGGAAGGTTTCATGAGTTAGTACAGCGTCCACTAGACTAAGTAAAAAGCTTGAGAATAACCGCCCTTTTCGTTAGCCGCTATGCTTGAGATGGGTGCTCTGATAGGCGCTTTACTAGCTGGTGTCCTTGCAGACCGTTATTCCCGCAGACTTTCAATCCTTTCTGCTTGTGGTTCGTACCTCGTTTGACGTTTTCTTAGCCATTTCTGTTTGCATGATGTTTGAGGCATTTGGCTTTATGTGGCAACCCCACGCTGCAGAAACTTATCTCAGCTACCTTCGAGGCAATCGACTTTGGTCGTTGGTCTCGCATTGTCTGAACTTCTTTTTCGCATGTGCATCAGTAAACTCGAGGCTGACATTAGTCCGTCCAGTTGTGTGTGGTATTGGAAGCACGTTTCAATGCGCTGCTCAAAGCGTGCAACATTTAATTATTGGAAGGACAATAGGAGGGCTAGGCATCGGATCATTGAGGTTAGTTTTGATTCAAGTTATGGATCTTGTCTACTCTGACAATTTTGACTATTACTTCAGTATGCTTGCTCCATTGTACATGGCAGAGATAAGCCCGCCAGAGGTACGAGGTTCTCTCATGGCGCTTGAGCAATTTGCCATTGTTCTTGGGGTAGTCTTTGGATTTTGGATGGGTTTCGTTACACGTGAATGTATGTACAATAGAGTGTTAACTTATGACAGCTATATTCATTCCACATTCTTAGTGACTGGTGCAATTTCTTGGAGACTGCCCCTTGCCATTCAACTAATTCCGGCTCTTTATCTTGCAATTGGATGCATCTTCCTTCTACCATCTCCTCGGCTTCTGATCATCCAAGGCAAGGATGAAGAGGCATTAAAGACACTTGCTAAGCTCAGACTTCGAACTCTGGGGGAAGGACTGAATCTGTTGAAAGTAAGTTTCTGAAATATTTATACGGAATGTTGCACGCCTTGAACTCGTGAAACGTAGCTCGAATTTTTAGAGATGAAAGTCGAAGCTGAGTTTATCAAACGCGCTACGGCTTCTGCTGTTGGCAAGAGCCCTATCAATACCGAAATACATGGCTGGATGCGACTCTTCTCCCCTAAGTATGTCGATCGAACAATGGTCGGTGTAATCGTAATGTTTTTCCAACGTGTGTTTTTCGTATCCTCCCTCGGCGGCACTGTGTTGAAACACTGCAATTTAGAATGGAGCGGAATTAATGCTCTGATTTATTATGGTCCTCTTTTAATGGCGCGAATTGGTCTCGATGGTGATACTGCTGAACTTATCGGGAGTGGCGGCGTTGGAATCGTGCAATTCCTCGCCGTTGTACCAGCGATAATGTATATAGACCGCCTTGGTAGGAAGTTGTTGCTTCAATGTAAGTCTTCACTTCCATGGCATGAGTTTTGTTTAACTCATTGCGATCTAGGGGGAGGTCTTGTTATGGGAGCAGCACACCTTTGTATTGCATTGCTGGTGCGGCGTTCACAACCCCTACGGTTTTCTAATGGAAAAACTAATAGAACACAGGTTTATCATTACCATTCTAGCTGGGCATCGCATCACTTTGCCGCATGGGCAGCTGTGGGGTGCGATTTTCGTCGGATCATCTTAAATATATCCCGTTGAACAGTTTTGTAGATGTGTGTACCTCTTTACTGCAGCATACGGCTTCAGCATTGGACCTATCGCGTGGATCTTACCTTCTGAGGTTTTACCACTTTCTATAAGGAGTCGGGGCACCGCCGTCGCGACAGCGTCGAATTGGGTGAATAACTGTGCGAATGGTTGCTTGATCTCTATTTCCGTCGTGTAACTCATTCTTCTTTTTCTCTTCAAGTCATCATCGGACTCGTTACACCTCCCCTTTTATCTTTCTCACCTACGTAAGTGATTTTCATCCCATATATTTCATTTTTGCGTGTTATTCAGGATTAATATAGCGCTACGTTTGCTGTGTTCTCCATCGCATGCTTTGGCGCGGCCTTGTGGTCGCGGATGTACGTACCCGAGACCGCGGGTGTATCGCTAGAGGAAATCGACCAGCTCTTCAAGTCTGAGGCGGGGCGGGAAGATGCGGAGTTGAGACAAGAGGTACGTCGCTTTTGAGGAAAGGCAACTATACTAGCCCATTTCCTGACTATTTTCACCGTTGTTACAGATTGCGAGGGAAGTCGGGCTGGAGGCCTTGATCCAGGAGTTATCTGCTGATAACAATGGTGACAATTAAGCAGGTGGACTACATATACTAATATCGTACCATATTCTCATATAATCCAAGTACCTTCTAAACTTTCGACCATACAGTGAATTTGATAAATAAGCAAGACTTTGTCCAAAACCTTTTTTTTCGAGCAACAATATCATTTATTAGGATGGCGCTTACATTTACTTCCAGATCTTTCCCCAGCCACCTTGCAATGCCCGGCCATTGACAAGCACCGTGGGTGATAGAGTGCTGTTATGGTTGTAATTCGGTTCGGAAGGCGCGATCCGGAGGCTCCGACTTTGCATAAGTCCACCATCAACAACGATCTTCTAACCATCAGTGTCGGGATTTGCTCAACAAAACTAGGTATTATTCGCATACAATTAATCACTACTGCAACCTATAAGCGGAATTTTCAAACGGATTTTTTTCCTTCATACCATGCCAGCTAGTTAGCGTCTCTCGACGTGTCCGCGAAACACGCAAGCCGATGCGGAAACCGTTGATGCATTGTATTTATTCGACAGGTTCATGAGGTGAATTCGCCGCCGTGGCTTGGGACATTGCATTAACCATGTATAGTGTTCAATAGCTGCCATCAATGGGAATTAGTATGGAAGCTCGACTGTTCGACAGATAGTGGCGCGAGCTCCGGACAACTTATAACAACACATCCATCGACTTATTCCCCCCTCTGTGTCACGAAACCACCCACTTATGCAACCGTTGAACGGCGTTCAAAATGGCAGACGTCTCAAGGCTCGACCTTTCCGACACTTTTGGCGTAGTGTTTTGGGGTAACGCATCTACACCGTATCCTCCGCTGCAACGAACCACCATCTGATTTTTGTTCCGCCCCCACTCAGGATTCGTGATCGCAACAACGTATGGTTCTCGTGTTCTTCCATGACTTCTAGTTGATGGATGTGAACAGGTGTTTCGGAGTCTCTATCACTCAATGTTACTTGTATTTCAAACGAAATAAGGATGGACCTAGTTTTCGAGCTTTCGTGAGTCTCTTTTTCCATGGTTTACCGTATTCAACGAGGTTCTGATTTGAAGTCAGGTAGCTAGTATGATGTAAGTCGCCTGACTCCAACCAAGAGGGAATCGTAACGGACAAGTTACTTCTTAGGATAATGGACTTCGCAACAACAGCCCTAGCTGCCCAGTCTCTCCATTATTATCTAGTGAGGTCCGTCTGTATACAGTTTACACTCGTTTCTGATACCTTTTCAGGTTGCAAACTACGGGAATGCTGGCGTTCTAGCATTCATGACAAAGTGTGCCCCGTCCTTTAGATCACTCGGGAAGCTGAACATATTGAGTTCCTATCAGGACATTTCTAGCGGAGTTCTTCATCACTTCGGCAGTCACCCTTGGGTACTTATTTCCGTGTTATGCATAGCATGACATATGCTTAATATCTTCCAGTTCTCAGCTATTTTATGCCAGCCGTATACATTTAGGTACGGTCATCGGCTTTCCCAGTTTTGCCTATCGTAAACTTACAGAGAACAAGTCACGAGATACTCGAAGTCACGATGGATATCTGCTGTCATCGTAAGTCGCTACCTGTTCCGGAGATTGTTGTCCGTTCACGGAGGAATTGGTTCAAGGCCCTGTTAGCGATGATCTCGTTCGGTAAGCTTCATTATCGACCAATTTGGTTTGGTGCAACACTTACAAAACTTGCATCCCTTGTTCTTATAGCTTCGTCAGCTGGTGGGTATGCTCTCCAAGCATTCGTTCTCCAAAAACTCACTAGCTTCTGTCATTTCTGACGAATACAGTCCAGCTACGCAACCTGATTGTAGTACACCGTGATATATCGAAACTACATGAGACCATCCTGCAGGTGAAGTTCATTCTTGATCGCACTTGCGATCTAAACTGACACGGTCATGGGCGAATTATTATAGATACCTATTGCAGTAGCGAACGGTTCTGCGGCTGCTTGCGACATAATCTCAACTATTTCATTGATTGTATTCGTGACATCGCATGCTCCCTCGCGAAAAGAGTAAGTCTGGCTTCCGACTGCCCTTGGAATCCTTCCGAAGGACTGATGTTGATTTAGAATAAAGTCTCTAGTGACATATGTCATCTTTCTTGCTGTAGGTCGTGGTTTTCTTGTCGCGGTGGCCCAAGTTGGTCTGTTGGCCATGTTCTTTGGCTCACCTGCGTCGAAATTCTACTGGTATGCGCAAATATGCGAAGGTCCATCGAACGTTGATTCTCATTCCAAAAAAATTATTAGGATGCCGTTTCATCTAAATATAAGCAAGCTACATGTCAATACGACGCGTGAGTTATCATTTTCTCCTGAAGCAAACTTTTCAGGGCTAACTTGTTCGCAGTTGCCATGTACGATCACCTTTTTTGAAATACTGGTATCCATAGAATTGATCATGTCTTTGCAGGCTGAATTCAAGGGCAAGCCTCCGTTCCAAAGCTACTCACAAACATATTCGGTCTGAAAATGCACGTAGCCAAAGGTTTAAACGAACTATCGGATCGTCTGATCTTCCCAGATCAAGAGATTGGACGACAGATTGGAGCTCTGTCGAGAATCAGATAGATCAAAGCTGTCTGCCTTATCGAAGTGAGGTGAGTGTGACGAACAGTATCTGAATAGCTTACTGAGGAAAGCACAGAATTTACAGCAACTGCTTGACTCTTCGATTTCGGTTCAACTTAGCAAGGACAACGATGTGATTCGACCAAAACCAACTTGGACGGGAGAAAGCTCAGTGGACTCGGGTTCATGGAGAGGACAGGGCGTATGACGGTATTCGGACTCAGATGGTGTACGAGAACATTGTAAGAATCTACATTAGAGAAGATCAATTCAGAGGATAATTCTATGCAAGGCAATAGAAAAATGACATTGACCCAAGCAGACAACGAAGTAGCACTCAAATCAAGACCTGCATCATTGTCGGAAGGTAGTGATATCACATGCAATGTTTGCAGTCACCGGAAGCATACAATTTGTGCGTGTGCAATCGTCGATATTAAAAAAGCCGACATTGGAGCTGCGCCGCAGTGATGGTCAACAAGTCAGTGTGCCATTCATTGTTGGGCAAAATGTCGTGATACATGGCAGGTAAAGAACGGTCAAATAGAGGGTGGTTGCATATTCTCTGTGCTACTGGTTGGCCAGTTCGTGCATATGCTTGAGATTTAATTGAGCCGGGTGAATTGTGTGCAAGATTGACGGAGTGGAAGATGAGAGATTGAAGTCGGTGCTGATAGATTTTGAAGCGTCGATCCGGAAATCACCGGGCGAGATTATTTTACAGCCTTAATCAAGTTCATGTTGATGACTGCAACACTTGTGACCGCCGTTCAGCTCCTCAAGCAATGGCAATTATTGGCGAAGGCAAGCACGTTGTCTGTGAAGATGCTTAAATAATTGCATGCATGATGTGAAACGTGTCCGTCACGCCTTCCATGCTGAGTGTTGGTGGAGTAAGTCCTTCCCTTCCGTAAAATTGTTTCTCCCGAGATAGTTTCTCAAGTGCTTATTTTCTTAACTTACTTTAGCCCATCTCAATTCTGTTGTGAGTTGCAAGTTGCGAGGAAGCTCGGCTTTGTAGAGGACCCTGGTAAGGTTGATGCCGAGTTTCCTCACAACTAGGAAGAATTGAGATGATTGACTTGTGAATTTTGTGTTGATCAGATTTCTTGTGATTTGAGTGGACAAACAAGTAAGGGATACAAGAAACATCATTTTATTTCAAAGTCTGACAACTCACAAGCACTCCAGAGTGCTTGCGAGTTGTTGCACGTTTGACTACTACTTTAGGCAAGCATGCAACCCGATCCCCATCTTAACCACCCGATTTTCATCTCAGCACTTCAGCATTTTTGGCATATTTCTTACATGCTGTGCACAACTCACAACTTGCAAGAGACTCTTCCTGTGACCTCCATGTCTGTGGGTTTTTTCCCACGCTTGGAGTGAGGGGAGTCGACACCCACAATGTGTCGGTCAACACAGTCCCAGCAATGCCTAGTCATAGGCAGCTCACCCACTGGCTGTACCAACTTTCGGTACTAGTCTACTCCTTTGTCAGACGCCCGATCGCCTTTGATCGTGGTTGATGCCTCCTAACTTCCTACATGTACAGCCTTTTTGTTTCTTTTTTACTTTCGAGCTGTTACATACCCTTTTATCTTTCTTAAAAGGCTCAGGGGATTGTCTTGAGTTGGTTGTGTTGCTTGATACTGGTGCATTTGAGGTGTACCCCTGGTGTTTGGCTGGGAGTTAGTGATGTGGTTTGAGAGTCCCTCTGCTCTCACCACTCCTGACAGTACCCCTTCCTAGGCTGGGTCCTCATATTGGCCGCTTGCGAATACTTTCCCAAATGGGATAGGAAGATGATACCTATACATAAAAGCCCATCTCAATATTGGCAAAGTACACTACAAAGATACATTTGCCAGGGATCTACTATCATCCCTCTTTGTTCATAGTAAAATAAAAGAAGGAAGACAGGCTTACAGAGGGCAATGGGAAGGGATGATTGCTCTCACATTGTCAATTCGATTGGTCAAAGCATCCAGAATGGTGTCACGAGTACACCCATGATCGCATTGTTTTCCGACGCTTCGATCATAAAACTGGAATTGTTCCCGAGACCAAGAAACATGTGCATCTTGTTCGGTTTTGATCAGAAAACGAGCGAGCAATAACAAACTTTCACGTGTCACGCTTCATTCAAGGAGGACCATCTTTTGTAGTAGTATATATCTTTTCTTATCCTTCAACGGCTCTGACCTTTGACACTCTTCGCCACTTGATCAGCAATGCAGAGCGTTCTTCAGGCGGACTTGAATGTAAAGACATTCGGGATCATCGCAGCTGGTAAGCTCATGTAGCCGGATGAACTTGGATATATTGGACTTTAACCGCCTGGTCTACGTTTCGTTGTCCACCTTGCAGTGCTCTTACCCTTGGCAGTCATATATCAACTCTGGCTCTATCCCTACTTTATCACTCCTCTGCGAAAAACTCCAGGTCCGAAGGGATCGCTTTTATCACCGAAATATGTCCTGTTTGGAGAGTTTCCAGCTATTATGTATGGTGAAGCTGGCGTTGTTCAACGAGAATGGGCAAAGCAGTATGGACCTATCGTGCGGGCTGTTGGGCCTTTCGGCATCCATCGACTCATGTTTTTGAGTCCTGTTGCTATGCAAAAGGTGCTCGTTTCAGACTGGACTGAATATCCAAGAGTAAGACTTCTATTGACCGTTAGACTAAGAGAGTGACTCAATAGGAGCTTGGATTTTTAGCCAGACTTTATGAGGAACATTTTGGGTCTTGTAGCCGGCTACGGGCTGCTGACCGTTACGGGTGATGAGCATCGAACGATGCGTCGTGCTATGAACCCTGCATTCTCTATCCCCAGTCTTACAGCTCGTACGTCTTATTCTCCTGCACTCTGTGACAAAACCAGTAATTTCGCATTCCACAAAAGAGACGGATATGTATTACAAACCATTATACGAGTATGACTTGCTTATTAGTCTTCCTGCCTGTGTCTCAGAACTTTTTCTAGTTTGGTCGAGATCCTTAAAGGCCAGATAAAAAATAGCACGGGAAACGTGCTATATATGTATGACTGGAGTAAGTCTGGACCCGTTTCCTCTTCAAACATACGATCTCAAGTGTTCTGCAGTGAGTAGAGTGACCCTGGATATCATTTGCCTGACTGCTTTCGGCTATGAATGTGACAGCCTGCATAATCCATCGAATGAGCTAGCAGACGCTTACCATAAGCTTCTGGATTTGCAGAATGGTAAGCTAGTTGCTACACACTCTACCTCAAGTTGCGCAGGAGCTCAATAAGACGTGGATTGTAGGCTCGAATCTGGCGCGGATTATTGCACTGGTTTCTGTCCCGGGCGTGCCTTATCTCTTTAGGACTGAATGGTTGTACAACCACCGACACTGGATGGAGAAGGTACCCCTTTTTGCACCAGGTGCCACTTTGATCGAATGTATGCGTCGCATCAAGCGCGTGTCCGCGATGATTCTCGAGGATGCAAAGTCACACGCCGCGGCGGTTGTTGCGAGCGACAGCACGCTGGCATGCAAGAAGGACGTAATGAGCCTGCTCGTGCAGGCCCGGATGCGCGAGGGCAGTTCCGGACCTGGGTTTAGTATGACAGACGCAATGATGATGGAACAAGTGGTCAGTATCTCCACATACTAAGCATAGTTGCATCGTCCTCAATCTCTACGAACGCAGTTAACTTTCTTGGGTGCGGGACATGAAACGACGGCATCTGGTCTAGCCTGGGTTCGTGCTTTTTTTATAATCCGTGAAGGAGAATTGCCTATGTCCCTTTTAGACGCTCTGGCTTTTGGCAACTCATCCCGATGTTCAAACTAAGCTCCGTGAGGAGGTTACTCGTGTTCTCGCCGATGACCCAAATCCCGACTTCCGAACCCTGAAAGGCATGGAATATCTCGATCACGTTGTGTGCGAACAACTTTCCATGTCCTCCAGGAAAGACCCTTTCATACTAACATGAATTTGAAATTATGTTAAGGATGGAAGCTCTACGCGTGTTTCCACCCGTACCAATGACAATACGAAAGTCCGGGAAGAACGACTACATCGACGGGGTCTACGTCCCAAAGAATACACTCTTCTATATTGCTGTACGTGAACCGTCCTTAGTCCTTGCAATTGCACATTCTATTCTCATCGCGCACATTGTCTGTTCTCTAATATAGATTAGGGTCATCAACACCTACAAGGACTTCTGGGGCGAGGACGCAGAAGAGTGCGCACAAGTCTTCCTTTTTCCATACATCTAATGATATATTGAGTCTCGATCTCACTTCTCTTCACCTTGCCTCTCCTCGCTTCGGCATCACTATAGATTCCATCCCGAGAGATGGGCAAAGCTTAACGAGGCGCCAGGCTACCATTCAACACACTCCTTCCAATCTTTCATCAACGGTCCACACCATTGTATCGGGAAGACCATGGCCATCGTCGAGATGAAGGCAGTCCTCGCGTAAGTACCCACACACCCGTCCACACATACGCCTTCCATTCCGCAACCCTTGCTCCTCGTTCCTTGCTCCTCGATCATGAGAACGCTGCTTCTTATCTCACATGTATCAGTATAATCATAGCGAACTTTGAGTTCGCACCTGCGTATGCTGGACAGAAACCCCGCCCGACGGCCGCTGTGACTATGAGTACGCATCTTCCTTATACACGCTTTATGCGTCCCGCGTGATTGAGGTAATTTAACTGACGTTGTGTGTGCGATCAGAGCCCGCGGATAATTTGCCTCTATTGGTTCGGCCCGTGAAGAAGTAAACAGCTTGGGGTTGTGGCACTCATCGACAACAGTGGTGTTGTGTGCCTAACCCCAATGTCTTGCGAATTGTCTTCCTCTGTCTAATTTATGTTGAATGTGTTGTACAGCGGACAGGACTACATCTTTGTACAACTCCACCCACCATATCTTTCTGTACTGCACTATAACCAGGCTAAGCTGCACCGTGCTTTCTTGTATAGCGCGCTTTTACCGAATGGAATGAATTTTTCAATCACTTTATAATACACAGCAAAAAAAAAATACAATTATAATCTGTTCCTAATATGTACATTTCGCTCAATAGCAACTAATCAATACCTGAACTAAAGTGGATGCGGAAACGAGTGAGATAGTCCATACACATAGGTTCTGCAAAAGAGTGACAGTTTTATTTTTGAACTTCATTTTTTCTCTCCTTACTTCCTTCCATTTTACATGACTAAGCCAACCCCATCATACTTCACTTCCCGAGAGGTCGTCTTCATCTCGGTGCGGATGTGAAAACGTCGGCATCGGGCTGTTGGTATACGTCGGCATCGGGCTGTTGACATACGTCGATACGCTAGATGGACTAGCCAGCGTTGTAGGACTTGTATCATGCCGCTCCTATCAAGTACACAGGTCAGCACTCTGAAACGTCAGCTTTAGAATCACCCCAAAAAACTGACTGCCTTCGAAAGCTGGCCGAGCTCAAAAGCCATACCAGATAGCCTGAGACTGCCCTTTGCAGAAGCAGATTCCCGAAGACCTCTTCCGATCTGAGTGTTGAACGTGGTACAGTCCTTGCTGAACCTGACTTGCGTCACTTCACTCCTTTCGCGAAGGCTCTGACGAGCATTGAGCCTATAAAAACTGTCAACTCATTATCGTACTAAAGGACGTGCTAGCATACATTGCAACTAAGGTTGAAGTTAGGCACAGAGTAACACGAGGGATTGACTTGCACTTACGTAGCGTGTTGACGTGTAGCTTGCTGACGCTTAGGTGGAACGGCATCCTAGAGCACATGTTAGAATCATCATTGAATGCTAGTCACGTTAGAAACCCACCAATAGGTCTTGGAAGGTGCGGCGAGGTAGGATATCATAAAGCCGAGCTGAGCTATTGCGACGAGAGCGCCACGATTGATACTGATGAACAAGAGGTAGGAAACGATTGTACGGGTTCTGACGGGTTGTATTAGACACCGCTGTGGATTCAGAAGTTGTCACTCTCACTGTTTATACACGGACTTCTGAGACGCTAGGAAAATGCACATCGCTGCAGTTGCGACAATATCGCAGGTTGCCGATAAACCCGTATTGAGACCAGCAAGAATCTTCAATGAAAATACATAAGAACAAGAGCAAAGCATAAAGGAGCATTCGCACCATCATTTTGTGTACTTCCAGACCTGCGATCAAACGATTGTTGTGGTAAATTTCAATGACTGAGCCAATCGCAAATCCTTAAGGAAAAACGTGAGTCTACAACCTCAAATATTTTTCGACCAAATATAGGCTCACCAAACGCCGCGACAGCCAGTGCACCCTGTCATTGACCTTGATTAGTAAAGCATTCCACAAGACTCCAATCCACTGATACGCACGATGAGAATGGTGATGCTATGGCTAATACTGTCCTTCGCCACTGTTGTCAAGGATCAGATGTTAGAAAAGGCCAGAATTTCCTTTGTCTAAGGGACGAACCAATGTGGATACGACTCGCATAGAATAATTGGGATCTACATAACATTAGATAAATGCCAGTTTCAGGGCGACAGCACTTACGCAAGGGTTACAACCGTTGTAACTGCGTATTCAGTTATGTACGGCCTAAAGGGTTTGTTGGACCAAAAGGCGAAGGATATCGATACAAAACTACTGACGTTGTCATGAATAGAAGGGCAAAAGGATTGCCAAAGTTTATTATCTGGCAATAGTTGAGCTAGTTAAAAATAAAAAGAACTAAGGATGATACTTACTAGGTAGTCGTGCATTGATTGTGACGATAATGCAGTCGTGGTGAAATCAAGAGCACTGATACAAAAGGCATGAGTGGTCTGTGATACCCGGGACAGCACAAACTCACAGCATGACTGCTACCTTTAAGCGTAGAAAATCGAAATAATAAGAAAATTGAACACATATTCCCAGTGAATATTTTACGACTCACAAAAACCCGCAACCTTAAAGGATCGTTATTATTCAAATAATAGAAGTATCCCTGTACGACAGAAACGCCAAACAGGCTGTCGTAATACGCGAAGTCCTTGAGTTCTTTGCATCTGAAATTCGGCTATGCGATTACTCACACCGTGGACACAACGAAGGCTGGAGAAAAGAGGTCGATCAGGATCTCAACCCATCCAAGAAAGTGTCAGCGTACCCCAGAATACAGGCCCAAACGTGCCAGACAAGTCAACATGGAGAGTTCCGCTGGTGGTGGTCGACATTAGAGAGTGAGGGTACCTTGAGGCGCGGTCGAGATGAGCTAAGGGTCTCTCGGTGATATAGCATTCGCAAAAGAATCACGAATGTCAATCGTGGTTCTTTGATATCCCGTCTTACCTGACTCCGCAAGCCGCAGATAGCACAACGGAGCAGCCGCGCCTTATTCCGAACTAGACCACTGAAGGAAAGGCATAAGGTTAAGGAAGCAAAGAAGACACCAAAAGCGAACACACCATACGCGCTTTCGGTCGGTATTCTGGTCCATCGGGGGGAACGTAAGCCAATAGAAAAGCAATTAACTACAACGGGGTCTGTACTTCCTGATTATCACCCAACGAGAATCATAGATTCAATTCGGAAACGGATTCGGGTGATAGATTTGCTCCAACAATAGCAGTACTACTTCCTTTCCTAGATAAAGTTCGCGTGGAGATAAAAAGGGCACCAATCACGCCGTCACAACGCCCTGGACTCAGACCCAGTCGTCGACAATGCTTCGTTTTCGTCATCAAATTATATAGAACGTGTCCGGCTATCGAAGCCACACAGAATTCTTTGTAGGTTACGGCGCACCACAGGCATGACGTTCGAGGCCGAGAGGATAACCATTCGGCTCAATTTTTGTGGTCCCGGTCCAAAGGAGACCCAGATTCAAGGACTGGGATGTCTACTGAGAAGACGAGATACGCCTCGTGCGCTACACGAGGTCTCCATTAGGTCACAGGCCAAGAAGGTCAGAGCATTGAAAAAGCAATGTTGCAAGTCGTGCCAAATACTGTTAATTTTGCTCCTGGTTGTGGGAATTTTCCCCAAAACTGTTATTACATTAACTATAAAATTTATATCTGTGCAGAGCACGTAGTGGATTTAACTCGAGGGACTATAGCGTGGCGGACTGGCCAATTGCCGTCGGTCTCTCCGAAAGGAAATTCTTGACGTTCCGAAGTTATAAGGAGCTTTTGGCTTCGAGAAATGTCGTCCAAATCCGTGAGGCTGATTTCATGCTCGTCGTTCTCGAGTCCATTTATTGAGTTCATGGCTAGTCAGGCGTAGAAGCACATGTCAGTTGGGTATGAAATACTCGTCGCTCCACTAAGGAATAGTATGTAAACATTGTAAAGAGATACCAAAAATACTCTGTAAAGCCTACTTTGAAACGCGTTAATAAGCATTCTTTAGAGTATGACGTCAGAAGTTAGCAGTAATTACTTGCCTGGTCGCCACGATGCAGTACTCGAGGTCGGAGCTTTGCTGCTGTGCTATGAAAACAGGAATGCAAGCACTTCCTCCGAGTACACCGTTCTTAGGTTCGCTTCAGAAGAAAGCCGCGTAGGTATTCGTAGCGGCTGACGCACAGTCAAGATCGCGAGTCCCCGAGAATCGGTGTCAATCGACCTATACAGAAGATTCGCATACACCGAGAAGGACCCCTAAGTTACCTGGCGGTCTGGAAGGGCACTTCGTTTCCGAACAAGATGCGGCTATTCACGTCTCTGACATGCGCATGAGACACTATGAAGATGATTATAATTGGAATCAGGGTCAAGTACTCACAGCTTTGTGTCCTGAAATGGATCAGTTGAGATGAGGAAACACGACCTCTCATGATTCTCTTGGTACAGCACAATGTAGCATAGCTTCATTGTACTAGCCCAATGAATGAAGGAACCAGCTAGGTATTCTCTGCAAATTTTGCGAAGGAAATTCTCGGTTCTTTCCGGTAACTTCTAATCGCAATGGCCAGCGCTTGAAGCCTGGTGGCACCTGGTGCTCATCAGACTAATACTCAAGAAACGCCCGGGATATCAAAGTTAGCAAAACGACCGCATCTTTGACACTCTTCGTTTAAAAAATAGCGTAAACTGCATCCATTGTTTCGAGCATCTTTGGTCGTTCTGGAGTGACAGTGGAGTCGGTGAGTCGTATATACCTTCGGATAAACATCTTTCGAGGTCGACAAGGGAGAATCCCGCCGGATGAACGTTCGCGGTCCGCTTTTTGAATGCGCGAGAACTATTAATTGAACTTTGTCGTATGGTCTTCGTGTCGCCCAGTGCATGGTCCGCCGGTTGGGAACAAAGTGACATGAAGCACTCGAAACGGAAGCAATTCGGTAACGATCGGCACTGATGGATCCTCACATAATCAGGTGTTGCACTGATCGCTGATAGCAGTTAATTTTGTGGGTACAAGAAGCAGTGGAGAAAGATAATCAGAGTTTCCTTTGCAAACTTTGTTCGTGCCATAAGAGTATTAGTCCATTTAAGCACCATCAAGTGCACGAATGGGCGGAAATGAAAAGAAGCATTGATCGAGGTATAGAGGACGAGTTAAATAGTTTCCGTCAACTTTCTGACTGTGTTTGCCTTGAGGTGAACATTCTGGAAAATGAATGGAGAAGAGAAGTAGCCTAATTTGACCTCGCAGTTAAGGAAAGGAAGAAGCTCAGTAATATTAAATTCATTTATTTCAATTTCGTCCCGCGAACGAATGGGCATTGATCGACAATGTTACCTCGGACCACATGGATAATTGCGAATTGCTGCCAGCCATTACTGATTCATGTGCGAATTGTTACAGACCCTGTAGGCACACTGTTCTTGATGAAACGGGACTCCACGATGCTCCAGCCTGGGGTCGTTTCAAGTCTTTTCTTGGTCGCACGTACTGGAAGATGTCAACTTGTAAGGTCTCGATTCGCCGTTCGTAACTCAAAGCTATTCCATGCACTTTTAATAACGGAAATTGCTTTGTCCTTATTGCTTTGTGCAAAAGCTTTGTTCCGCGCCTATATTTCAAGAAGGTACAACGTGGCTAACGTTTGTGTTCTTTACACCAGGTACAAGGCCTTGAGGCTTTTCACGCGTAAAAGAAGCACACACAGTCCTACAGAAACAGTGCTTTAGGAGACCGAATGTCCGATTGACATGTAACACGATTGCTTGTAAGCACGGGACAAGCGACGTCAGATCAAGGAACCAACACAGCAGGTTGTGAGAGACGATGCGGAGCAGATGGACTGCCCGGAGTAGACGAGCTCGCGAAGAACTCGTACTATCGTGGAGTGACAAGAGTGGTAAGAGCGTATTCACGATCAACACCTGGGGTACGTGAATGTCATCAACATTCTGATATGACAAGTAATGCATAAACACAGAGACGTCGTTCTTCTTGTATCCGACTAGAACTAGCTGAGAGTTCTACATTGGAGAATTCGGAAAGCTCGGGATTCCTTAAACTATCGTTGCGAGTCCGGAGGATGCTTCAGCATATTAGAACACAATATGGTTTCAGGACGCTGCGACGACTTGGTAGCGAAGGGTTATCTTGGTATCTATGCCGGACCTTGCTTTTGAAGAAATCTGTATCCAAATGCACAGATACAGTGTGCGTAGAGCATCAGAAGGGTATTATATTCGGGTTATGGCAGGTCATAAGAAACAAAGACTTCACCGGAGGGCATCGGACAACTCTGCCTTATCAGTGCGTGAAAGCATGGCCGTAACGTACAGAAGATCTTTCGCGCTAGAGAAAATTGATAGTCGAGAAGAAGCTCTAATAACAACTTCACGCTATGCGCATTTGAGTTCGTACAGAGCATGCTTGGTCTCCGACAAGTTCTTATCGCCAGTCAGCCGAGAACGAACGAAAGTTTCTTGATTACCTCTCCGCTGGATGAATTAGTTCCGAATCGGTGCTGCAAAAAGCACGACAGGACAGCTAAGTAGGTCATGTTCTTTCCGCTTGCAAGCTGATAAAATCTCACATGAGCGCATATGTACAAATTCAAGCAATACCCTTGTCTCCTAAACACAGTCCCCAAGGTGATAGATGATCTCGATTTGCACACGCGGGCATATTCCCGCTAAACCCGCTAGGAAAAACAAAATTAGACGCGTTGACGGCAGGTGTCAAGACGGAAACAAACTCGGAGCTCCTTACTCACCGAGAAATCTACCTAGCGAGGAAACACCGTCCATGGTCAGCCTTGACTCGCGCTTGACGTCCTCGGTATCCTCGTAATGAACCATCGGACCACTAGATATACTTACAAATACATTGCACAGACCAGAAGCATCGGCTTCAAGGGGCCTTGCCCAATTTGTTTCCGCAGGCACTGCAAAGCTTAACGCAACATCCAACTCAATAAATGACCATGAGTTGTAGGAGCGTTCCCGGTCGACCGCGGCTGGATCTCACATGAACCTCGTGTGCTGTCCAACTGTCGACAACCCCGGCAATTAATAGAGTGCAAGAATACCGAGCCCAGAGTCCACATAGCGAGCAGCTTGAAGTTCAACAGACTTTGGACGACTGGGATGACAGCTAGTAATCGAATTGAACATGCTGATTAAATCTCTAGTTCTGTGTTGTCTTGTGGATAGGAGCAGCTGAGCACTGGATGAAGGCCGCAAATAGATATGTCTGTCATTTTAAAGTGGGATGAAGAATACTGAACGCGCGTGAGGCTCACTGCTTATGAGTTCATGCGGTGCGTTCTCTTTCAACTAGCAAAACCCATTAATTACCAGCAGGTTTACCAGCATTTTCATCGGACTTGCAGACCCGTTCGAGAAATGTATGCATAAGTACTTCCGGTTGTTTCATTTTTGAGATTTATGCATTGATAGGCAGGTAAAAGCATAGTCCGCGGCTTGCTCAAACAATGAAAGTAAAGATCAATAGAGATGCAAAGATGCGAAAATCGTAAACCAACCCCATTCCACATATTACATAATACTTCACGTTTCAATTAAACTGCTTACATTTTTTTAGTTGAATACACGAACATGCTCAGTGCCAGCAGTTCATGTCCCAGACAGTTATCAAGGAATCAGGTTTCATTTTTATGAATTTTTAAGATAAATGAGAGGAATAACGTATTAATTGTGCTGGACATCGTGGGTACTTCTTGGAAGTGCTGTATAGCCAATAATGCCGAATTTTCTTAAGTAAGTGGTTTTGAAACACCGCTCACCAATATTAGTACACGCGTCGCTGATGCATTTCGTTCGTTGCCTCTCTCCATCCACCTGCAATCGATGGACCATCGACGATGTTGGTACAATTTTTGTTTTCCTCTGAGTTGAGATACACTATTAACCCTCCATCCTCTTCCAGTTGCATCAATGTTAAGTATCATCAGTACAGTCAAGAGGGACACTATGTGTCCTTGTTCAGACGTTGCAGATGCTGTTGATGATAAGCTCGTTGGCACAGTATACTTGGTTGATTTCTCCCTAATGGAAAGTGCGTGGTGGCAGGTTCTTATGGCAGAACAATACGGGTCTGTGAACGAATCAGTGGCAGGTCTACCATGCTCAGAATCTCAAATTTGCATTGTTTGATCATCCGAGCCAGAGACTACGCGCTTTCCATCGGGTGAAAAAGCGACCAACTTGTTGCTGTCCGCATGCCATCTGAATGGATCTACCGATTTCTCTTTTCTAGACTATGATGTATCGTCTAAAGAGCCAGACACAGTGCGCTTTCCGTTGGGCGAGAAGGCCTTTGAGGACTTGATCTATTCCCTGAGATCCAGGTGGACTGATTGAGGTGGTTCAATGGTTTTCTCTCTCTTCGGAAAGCATACTATATTCGACTCATTGTGTTGAACAATTTTGAATTTGCATTGAGCATCGTTTTTGTAGACTGTATCAGATGTACTTTATTCACGTATTATGTGTCTACGTTATTTTACAATGTAGTGAGTAGAGGATTCTCAAGTGTACTGCAAGCCAATGAGTATAGCAATGAAAACGGCAGTTAAAGAAAACTCAAGAATGCTGACATCCCTGTGTACTACCCCTGAATTAGGTATTGGGACACAATTTCTACCATTGAGGCATAAGATGTCTTGATTAGTAAGGAAGTTCAGTTTCAATGAGCTTGAAGTAAGAACATAAAGTCATACAACGGACTGTACATTCAAATCACCTAACACTACCAAACATACACGTCCTTTAAGGAGCTGATTGAATATTGTTTATTCATAAACAGTACATATCATGACCAACAGTACTCTTCTCAAACAACGGATTGGTTACTTGGGAAAAATGGTCAACATCAGCTGGAAGTGAAATCAGCAATGTGAAATAACGTACAAAATCCCGGTTCAATCAACTCTATCCACCTCGCCTTGCACTTTATCAAGTACTTAGGCACAAGTCTGCGCAAAGTCGAAGAGGTTAAGTACAAGCTTGTGAGAGGTGAGAAAGACAGGGAATAGACTTACACCTACAGGAAGACCACCCATACTCATTTCCTGGCAAGTCAAACTGCCCCCACAGTTCGTGATGGCCGAGATGGGCGTAGGAATAACGTTGCTGAATACATCGGCAAGGCAGAGTTCGGTAGGACCGGCATTCTGACGCCTTTCGACTTCGGCAGAGACAAACACCATCAGGGAGACAACTACAAAAGTCTTGCTGATGAACTGCATGCTTGGCTCAGGAATCAACTATGGAGTCGAGTGTTGTTGATATGAGTATACTTGTTTAAGCTTCGAGAATTTGATCTGTTAAGGATTACTCGTGAATAGGTACAATGCTTTTATGCGGTTTCTGAAACCGCTTTTCTCGGTCTTCTCTGGAACAAACAAACCAAGCCAGCAAAGCTAGTCGTCTCTTGCATAGTTAAGCACATGCAACAAATCTTTCACTGCACATGCTGTTGTGTAACTGCTACACCTAAGCCTATTTCAACGGGATTAAAATGTCAAGCACATGGTAGGAAAGAGTAAAACCTTATTCCAATTCATTGGACCTTGCGACTGAAATCCAAATAATCATAAGCAATGTTAATGACACTATCATTTTACAATGTACACTAACGCAATTTATAAACACTAGCGATACAACAGGTTTTCGGGTAATTCAGATAGGCGTCTTGCGTCCTTTTAGTACGATGGGCTAATAATACAAGTAAGCATAGTAGTAGTACTCCACAAAGATTTTCTGATCGGATCGGAAATATCGGGGTCTGAACAACGCCGGATTACATGTTACATAAGCAACAGTCATTCAGTCACACATTATTACGACGTCAAGACTCTGTAGTCTCTGTTGCCTTTGACTGCGTGTGTCTCCCTCCCAATCGCACCAATGCATCTGCGTTGTTTCCAACTGTCCATGGTCCGCTCGCGGCGGAAACGGGCATCTAACTAGAATCACATTTGTATTATGCCACTGCAGCACCGGAGAGTCATGAACCTTGAATACCACCTAAGATTTGCTCTAAGGTCGCAACCTCCTGTATTCTTCTCAAACTTGGTAACAATGACCTTGCTTACGAATAAGGTGGTATCTCAGCATGGCGGTGAGCAGGCTATGAAGGTCAAGCCGAATACCTTGTTGCCACCGTTGGAGGATCTCATTGCAAACTACGGAGATGCTGTAAGTAACAATATCATTGTCCATACCCTCTCTGTTTGACCGTATTCTCTCGTCTTTGTGTCGTCAAACTTGTTTTACTTCTGCTTTTTATTGCTGACAGGCTAGTACAACATGGATAGAGGACAAATTTTCTGTATGGCGACATCTGCCAACGGGCGCAGCAATTGGATTTGCAATGCCATATTCTTCAAAGCCCATTACAGATTTCGAGCTAGTCATGGGTCCAGGATATGGAGCAGGCGTGTCGATTTCTGACCTTGCTTCCCTCAGCAACGAGCGCTCATCCAAGTGGAACGGCTTCCTTATTGCCTGGGGCAATCCATTATGTACACCAGAGCAAGTCCCGCAAGTCGTCAACGCATTTCTCAAATGGTGCAACGACAAATGTTATAGTCCAATATGGTGTTGCGTGTCTCCTCGCGTGGAGCAAATCCTTGCAGACGTACATGGATGGCGCGCTATAAGTTGTATCCAGGAAGACGCACTCGACCCGCGCATATCGAAACCGGAGGAGAACAAGGAAGTTCGGAAACATATACGTCGTGCACAGCGTGAGGGGTGTAAAATAATTCAAGATCCAGATGTGCCGTGTCCTGAGGTGCGGGAGGAGATCAACGAGCTAATACGGGAGTGGAAAGCTGGGAGGAAGGGTATCCAGGTACATTTGACGAATGTTGAGCCGTGGCGAGACGTCAAGCATCGGAAGTACTTTTATGCACAGGATAAGCATGGCAAGGTGACTTTAGTAAACGTTGAACATACGCTCAATACTAAACGACCGAATCGCCTAGATTGTTGGCTTCCTCTTCCTCGCAAAGGTCGGAGAAGGCTGGGTTATCAAAGACAGCATCGGTTCGAATGATGCACCCAAGAATATAACTGAATGGCTCATTGCATTCGCAATCCACTCACTCGCAGACGCCGGGGAATCACGACTTACCTTCGGAGGCACTCCCACTGCATCTCTATATGTCCCTGAGAATGCAAACTTGGGTCCCTGGTCTATTTACTTCCTTAGCAAGGCGTATGGTGGAATCGAGCGTGCTCTTCTCGGGAACAAGAGAGTATTCCATATGAAATTTGGAATTATTGGTGAACCAATCTTCATGTGCTTCCCACCATACGGACTTGGTATACGAGGGTTCTTCGCACTCATGAGCGTTTTGACAAGTTGACGGATTATAAGAAGGGTACGTGCGATTATAGGAAAGAGTTAGCAATATTTGCTGTTGTGCTCAATTGGCTTATTGGTGTTGAGTATCCTAAATTTCTTATTGTGAACATGACCAGACGGATATCAACCCTGATAAGAGATACCTAGCGAATAATAAAGTCCGTACCGTGAAAAAGAAATCACTTCATACAACCATTGGGAACCTATTTGAGTACGTTCAGGCATGGCGATGAAGCGGTGCCGAGAGCAGTTCCTTACCGGATATATGCCTATAGAGTCATGGATGGACTCGACGTGGGACTCGCCGTCGCGCACATGTTGAACCCTGCAGACTACCGTTCATTTCGCCCCCATGCCTTATCCTCCTGTCTCCTTCATATCCGTACGTCCTACCTTGTTCACATCGGTATCCGATTTTCTCGGCTCACAATTAGCGTTGAATACATTCGTTGAACACAAGCTCCACTCTCTTCGGTTGATGCAAGAAGAGTGATAGCCATTTGCCACAATGCCACATGCGCAACCAATTTCTGTCTCGTGGTAGCAAAAGCTCGTTCCATGCACAAGGTATGCTTTGTCCGCGAATACCTGGAAAATCGGGATTGATGAATTGTATAAAAAGACTGAACTTATTGACAATCTATCCTCAGCAAACTAGTTCTCCAGCCTTTAAGCAGCATCTTTGATACAAGGACACTCTTCTCTTATCCGGCTTCACTACCAAACATGCAGTTCTTCAGCAAGACCTTTGCTATCGTTGCTCTCGCAACAGTGGTCTCTGCGTCACAATTGCATAACATGCTTATGATGATGCGCGACCTCAATGTCCCTGCTACAGTCTGCCTCGCAGGCGCTTTCACCAGCGCCATTCCTGAAAGCACCACCATTGTAAATTGCCAATCTGGTTCGACCTGCTCAGCTCTTCCTTCGAGCAACCCAGTTGGTGTAAGTCGGAGTGTCCTGTACGCATATGTTCACTACTGACCTTCTGAAGATTTGCACGTCGGCCTAAGTACTCCACGTGCCAGGATCCATGGCGGATAATGTTGATTGAATTGGGATTTTGTGAGTTGTTTTGCAGTATCAATTTCGATCTCTACTAAAGATACATCTGTATTTCTTAGATAATCTGGCAATCTGCTGTTTGACAAGAGTACTGTGTTCATGTACTATTTTTAAATAGCAATTTTCAATCACTTAAGTATTAGGGGGGATATACAGAAGTTGTCATCTGATTTGAATGTACAGACACTCTATGGCTTTTATAAGTGTGTTTAGTATTGACCATTCTACAAGAATCCGAGGCAGCAATAGGAAATTCTACTTTTATTCGAGAAACTCAGCACACAAAGCCAGAGAAATAACAATAATACTAGTACTACATTCCACATACTATCCACCGACTCCATTCTCGATTCAGTTGGTTGTCCGTTGTACTTGTTTCTGAATGGCAGGAATCCCCAAATTCTATGCATTCCATCAATCCTTCGGCCTACGAATGGAAGTAACGCAGGTCATCAAGTCAGCTCGACAGCCTGCTATGCAGATCATATATAGAAAACTGATAGCAAAGGATATGAATGGATTAAAGGGCCATAGAGTTAAAGCCTGCAATATTCCTCTAGTAGGATTTCAACGGATGTGTTTAATATATGTATAATATACAGTATCAGTATCTGCGTTACATTACACGTGTAAAGTTATGTATTTCAAGCACTAGAAGTCCATGACCATAGATAGATAGCGTAAAGGCAAGTCGTGAAAGCAGGATAGATGGGTAAACAGAAAAGCTAGTGGGAATACCGAATACCAAAAATACCGAACGTCATTGTCCTCATAATGAGCATTAGCAAAAACGTATAAGTTAGTTGTTAAGGTCCGATACGATTGAGAGGAGTTGAGAGGAATTGAGAGAAATAGTCCCAAAGTGAAATACGAAATGGATTAATAGAGCGTAATAATTTACGTAGAAACGGTATCAGTTGAGACGTCCTTGAACATGTTATCCTCAAATTGGGTATCGGGGTCGTTCTTGTAGTAGTTAGGACAGAGGTTCTGCCATTGAGCTATGGGATGCAATGATCAGAATAGAAAATCGCTCGGACAGACCGATAGACTCACAATCGACGGGCTGATCAACCTTAATATCATCAGTACCTTCAGCAAAGACAACCGCTAATCCACTGAGCAGGACAAAAGGGCAGAATAAGCAAATCTTTATATACATAGTATACGAAGTGATGACGTACGCCTCCAAGTGCCAATCAATATGGCAGTGGAAGAACCATGGTCCAGGGTTATCCGTAACGAACCGAATCGTAACAAGGTCACCCGGGTTACCAATATTAACGACATCGCGGCGAGGAGGATTCTTGAAGTTGTACGTGTCGCTTCCGGCAGTACGAATTACATCAAAGGCGTGTCCGTGGAGATGGAATGGATCTAGGAAGGATAATAGGGAAGGATGATAAATGATCAGTTTCGGTACTAAATGCGACCGTGGGGAAGGGAACATACGGGGGAAACCACCGGGTAATTCCACCTGTATAACTTTGTTCCTTGGAAGGCCAATCACAGAGCCTTTTGGAAGAAGTTTACGAGGGTCTGTCACGCCAGATAGGACTTGTAGCAATATTGGAATCCTAGCGACAATTTGGTTCATTTCGATGTACCGTGGGGGACGATACGCAAACTTACTTCGGAGGCCTGATAGTTGTGTCAGTAAGATTCAAGCAACTGGAGTGCGAAAAAAGAAACTTACTCATACGCAATGCCGTTGATAAGATGCAAACCGGTGGTGAGGTCCTATACATAGCTGTAAGCCACTGCGTCACAAATAAAGCCATTCATGATCCTTACAAGGCTAGTCGTCAGAGTAATGTTGTAGTCCGCTCCATTAATATCGTGTCCGCCGGGCTAAGTAGTGTTTTGGATCAGCAAACGCATGTGCATCTGATTAAACACGACATACTGCTCCAGGATTAATGAGAGGCTGAAACGATACGTTAGAATCATGTCCTCGATCAACATATGCACTACTACTCACTGCAAGGTCCGCCTCATTCAAAGGAACGCCGTTAGGAATCGGCTCGGACGTGGGTTCCGTATTATTCGCACCCTCGTAACGGAGGATAGCGGCATTCAGGCCACCAACAAAGCTCTCGTTCGTGCCATTACCAGCCTCTGCACCAGTGGGAATGACGCGGATCCCTTTGGAAGAGAGTTACATCTAGTAAGAGGAAGGAAGTATCGAACAAAGAGGCGGCTCACAGTAATTGTCAATAGGCTGGTCTGCAGTAACCACGACAGAGTATCGTTGTGACGCGAAAATTTGGAGGCTGTCGACCGTCAGCGGCTCTGTTTCTATTCCATCCGCTTCAATGATAGTCATCTGGTGTCCATCAATAGACACATTATATCTGGAATCGTCGTGTTAAGCGGCTAAACGAGATATACTAAGACGAGTGTGTGGGACTTACGTCGGACCGCAAACGGCTGAGATGAAGCGGAGACGGTATCTATAAGATTAATGCATAAGTTACCCATGTTGATCACTGTATGCTATGACACTCACCGAAGGCCTTTCTTGACGCTGGTAACCGAAAGCGGAGACTTGGGTCCGCCAGGATATCGCCCCTTGCCATTCACCGTTGTCGCTTTCTCGATACTATAACGCTATAAGCATTCCGTCTTTTCCGAGATGAAGGATGCTTACGGGTCCACATGTTTTGGGTTCTATAATCTAACCGTTAGATTTCATCTTCAAATGTCTATAAATAAAACGTACAGGGAACATGCTCGGTGCCGGATCATGATACCAGTCACCGATGGTCAAAATTGTGTCGTCTATAGATATGTTAGCCTTTCGAGACTTGCCGAGAACATATTTTGCCCTACCGTTGTCAACGTCATACATATGCTTAAGAGGGTCATTCGGATCTTCGTATGGAACCGAGTTAGTTGAAAAATAGACAGCAGATCCAATTTAACAGACCATAAATAACGAGCGGGCCACTGTAAGGAGAAGTCAGTCGGTGGGAATGATTAAGACAACTTCCGAACTCACCGCAATCCATCGCAGTACTGCGTCGACAGATGCGAATGGTACCAATACGTTCCAGATTGATCGGGTACAGAGAAGTCGTAGCTAGTAAGCCGATAAGTTTCAGTGAGCAATATTAATAAGACCAAACGTGAAGGTTGAACTGATCCGATAGACTTACAGGAAGGACTCTTCAGGAATGATCGGGCATTGAGTTACCCACGCGGGACCATCAAACTCGCTCTGATGTTTCTGAAATAGACCGTGCCAGTGCTGTGCGTAATCGGAAAGGAAAGAGTTAGCTCCACGCGTATTGATGTCGACCCGTTCATTCACACGTACAATGGATGTCGCACGACGCATTGATGGGTCTTTCAGCTCGTCAAAGACATTGATCTGCGCATGCGTATTCTCAGTAAAGAATCATCCTATAGAACGGCGAGACTATAGGCACCTTGAAGCGATCGCCGACATTTCCTTTAATGAGCGGACCAGGGAACTGGCCATTGGCGACAACCGTTCTATGTACAACGGTCGGACCTCTAGAATAGAACGAAATCGAATACTAGCACTTACGATCGATTGAAGCCGTCTGGTGCCAGGACAGTATTAACGATGTGCAAGTCCATGGGCACATCCTTACCATGGACAAGCGTTGACAAAGTCAAAGCAACAGCCGACGAAAGAAAGGTGAGCTTTTGCATCCTGTCTTGACTTGTCGAACCTGGGGAAGCTACGCCTACCCTCCTCAGGTGTCCTGTCCGCCTTATATGCCCGTCTGCTCAGCCATGCACCCCAAAATACGGACAAATACGTCGGACTACAAGCGCCTGAGGTAGCCCGAGATTCCCATCAGGAACAACAAGGAGCGCGCATCGTACAGCATCGCCTCGCGTACGCACATAGTCATCGCCGCCTCTTCCGCAGGATGGGTAAATGGGCACAGATTCTAAAGACAAGATCCGGTGAAACAGAATAAGGGACATGAGGCATTAACACGGCATTGCTTGAAGTGCCCGAGAGACTCGTTGCAGGACACATACTTAATCCATCCAGTTCGGTCTACATAATTCGTCGCGATACCCGCATACGCGACACCACAGAAGCGCCTGCATCTCCATAGAGTAACAGGGCGGGTGCGGACCCGCCCAGCATAGTGCTGCAAGGCACATACAGGGATGTCTGCACTGCGTTATGATGTCGATCGGACGTTTCGAAGACGGTACTCCCACGGTGCCTGAATCGCCGAAGATGCGTATTCGATGATTTACGTTGAATGCGTCTTCCATGTCTATTCACTCAATTCATTCAGAAGCAGGTCGCTGCGACGGTTGCGGTGGCATCGTGAGCGCAGGCACTATAGTAGTGCGCAGGGACCGTAGTCGTACAAACAAGTCTTCTACATTCCGCGACGTCACGGATACTGATGAAAGGTATCGACGGCAAAGTCGCCGAAACCATTCGCTCAATTCTGTGCAGCAGCACTGTGACAATGTCACACCTCGTTAATGGAGAAACGTGTATCCGAGAATAGAACAGCTTTGCGTCCGCATCTCAGTTGTGTGCATTTTTATCCACCGGGCCAACGCTTTGTGCGTCGAAAATAGCCATTCCTCTGCTTTGAGTCGGGTATGACCTGAAGAAATCCGTAAATGTTATAAGACAAGGCGGGACCGAAATGTCATGGGCTTACTGCAGTATGCGGCAAAGATGCCGATGAACTGCATTTGTGACGCGCTCGCGCCAGGTAAAGTGTATCGCACCCCTAGCGCTGGCGGGGCTGTCGGTTATGAATACCGAGATGCCGTGTAAAATAGGGGTCCTTTCGGAAGCGCCACATACCATAGGACTGCCTCCTGTTCTACCCTGGCTAGCCTGGTGACCATCCGAGAGCCCCAGCTGTCACTTTGCTGTCCTTGAGTAATGTATACATGGACAGTGGTCGGAGACTACAATTACTCATGGCACTCATCAATCACGATTCGTCCAAAGGTTTGTCTCGTCCGTGTCAAATATTGACAGTTCTTCAGTGCCGTCAACACGAGTCCATTCCGCGATAATGAGCGGCATTTATTTAGATTATCAAATAGCTCACCTCGTGTTGATCATTGTTGATCAAAGTACAGTGCAAATGGGCGGTCCGAATCTCCACTCTGGGCAGGGGTAGTCTGGCTCCTTTCCAGCTCGTCTCACATTATGGCCGTCCATCATTACGTTCAATGCACAGAGACAAGAATCTCGATAACGTCTTGCCAGAGTCCACACTCGATATGTGAGGAAACACTCACTGAAAAAGCTCGCGCGAAGATTCACGTCGCTGAAAGACAGTTTCGGTTTCGGTTCTGGAAATCATGATGCGTCGGTATCTTTCCTTTTTCGAATTTTATTCTCACAACTATTTTTGGATATTGATCTTCATCTTGATTACCGGACTTTTCCGGGGTAGGAAAGTGGTCGGTTATTTGACATAACAGTGATATTTCCGTTTTCTTCTTCATCCAAAACAGTGCTATCGACGCCAGATCCCCTTTCAATTTGTTGCAAGCATATGAGTTTCAATTTACTCGCGCATACGCAGATTAGAAGGGAACAACCGCCTGCTTTTTGTAGAGATTTCACACAATGCTCTTACCTGACAGTAAGGCTGATACAGCACGTATGGGTAAATGAAACGCCACGAATACTGAAGTTTATCATCATCATTCCTCCCGAAAGCGAGCCTGACTGTGGTCGGCCCTTGTGGCTGGGCATTCAACATGGTCCTGAACGTTTCGTTTCACAAACTAGTAAAACAAGCAAACCGGAGAAAGCAACCATAGTACGGAATGTCGATATTCCGAATGAAGGTAACGAACGTAATCGTATCTAGGCAAAAGAAATGGAAACTGCCCATCCAGTGGTCTTTCCAAGTTGTGTGCCATGTGTCTCCAGGAACGAAGGTATCACATTGCCGTAGCGAGGAACTCGAAGGCAAAAGATGAAGGTAATAGCCTGCATATCTCCGCACAACATCTTAATGGATCAAGATACGCATTATAATTATATTTTGACGTGGATAGAAATTAACGGATCATGGAACTTTCACAGTACCTGGATCGCTGGCTGCAGATACAATACATGTACGCTATGTTTATCCAGATTTGCGTTACGTGCTTCCCGCAAGCTTATTCGCTCAAGTTATTCGGAGGTGGTCTGCTTCGCGGCGTCGATGCCATTGCGGGCGCAGGTACGAAAGTTGAAAGTAGATGTGCACTTGTCTAATAAACCTTTAGTCCGCGGCATCGTGGGTCCTAACGAAAGTCTTTCATCAATACAATTTCCAAACCGGGAGCAATATTAATACATTCCACTCATTAGATACTTTGCCTGAGCCGCATTCTCCGACGGCGGAGGATCGAGCATCCGAGAACAGGGCAGCTATGAGACCGCAGTGAATTTGCGTATATTATGTACATGCGTACTACATCCATCGGACAAACGAGTCTCTGCTCCGAACGATACGGCTTATCCTCTGCTTCGAGTCACGTATGGCCTGATAGATCAATGAGACTGATACAGGGCTGCTTCTGTCATTACAGCAAGATCATTGGGAGAAATCGGAACGGAACAGTATGAATTGATAATTGATCGTAGGCTACGGCAATAATGTTGCGGAAATACTGCGTTTCACAGCAAGACTAATAATGCTCCCAGTATGCACGACGTTCCGCTCTCACATGCACTTACAGCCCTATATGCTCTGGCGGAACCAGTTATACACAATAGGATCAACTCAACTTCACCCCTCTCCCCACCCTAATTCCTCCTGGACTAGCACCCCAAGGGCCAAATGCCTGCCTAAGGACAAGGGAAAGGCTTACTATAACTCTATAGTACGTATGTACATTCACCATACAATAGACACACTCCACTCATCAGTATTCTGACCTAGCAAACCTCTCCAATGACTCAGCGTCTAAAGATAGTGGTCGTGACAGTGCAACGAAAATTAGGTTGGTGGTTCACTAGACGAACAGCGTTCCGTGAAAACGACTCATGCCAGTCCTCTGCTTCAAGGAACATAGAGATTATTGTGTATGACTCGGAGAAACCGGAACGAAACGGCAAGGATTGGTCGCATGTTACAGCGCTGCATCACCACAGGCTCAAGTCTAGTTCCGCGCTCGTCTTTGCGCTGACACCGCTAAAGGCATCGCGTATAATCACTCACTCACTTACCGAACCGTGACCTTGGGCGGAGTCAGAGTTCCGTTCAAAAGCGGAGCGTGTTATGATCCGTTGATCCGTCCCCCTGTTCCATCTAAACTAATATATGAAATCCACAAATCCTGTCCAAGGACAACTACTGCTGCAGGTACACACATTGTAGCTCATCACAAGAATCATGCCTATGTATCGTTCGCAGAAACCAGAACGAAACAGCAGAGACTATTCTGTATTCATAAGACACAAGATCCATAATGTTGCCGAAGTCTTAGAACCTAGCACCACGTTTCATAGCATATTAAAGGCAAGCACCGCGATCAACTTTGCACCTACACAGCTGAACGCATTGCTCTTTTACGCTCAGGCTCATCCATCTAGACCTGTACAGTTTGGCGGAGTCGGCTCGTAGACAGCACAATATTATTGGACATGTACATTCATTCATTCATTCATTTATACAACATTGCAACCCAAGGCCAAAGTCCCAAACATCTACAAGTACACACATACGTTGAAGCAATGGACCAGAAGAGCACCACAAAAGAAGTTGTATCTAAAATGAGAAATATGCAGTGTCAATGCAAAACCCATTTTCTTTTCTTTTAAAAGACCAAGTCGATACTGAGCCAACGTCTCTTTCCACCGCTGGGTGGGTAGTTTCCTTCAAATCATTCCTTTCGCCCTACTAGTCGGCCAACTAGAAATCACCAGACCAGCAATGGGCGGATCACCGAGTCCGGGAGAGATCACCGAAAACTCCTCTCTGACCCACTCCCCAAACTCAACGCATAATCATTCCCATCCGTATCCCAACCACCCGTCATCGACCCACTCGTAGACCCCCAATATCTTCCCCCACCTCCCGTACCTCCGCGTCCTCGAGCAGCAATGGGAACACCAGGGCGGAAAGTCCGACGGGGGCCTGAGCGCAGGGCTGGGTTACTATTTCATTTTTATTAAAAAAAGTTAAATCAGTTATCGGTTATTTGATTAAATTAGGAAAAAAAGAGAGGAAGAAAGAGGGTAGGAAAGAAAACTCACTTCGCAACCAAACTAGGCCCCATCGTCAACGTCGCAAACGAACTCGGGAAAAGCGGGTCCCCAGTCCCCCTTTCCTGCTGAGCAGACCTCCTCACCCTTCCAGACTTAGCAACAGAAGCAGCCATCATCGCCTCCCGTCTCCTCATCTCCGTGTCTTCAGTTGCAGTCGAACTGAACGCTCTTCGTTGACTCGTTGCTGTCGGTACGACGGGTGACATGCTGAGAGGATTAAGAGATCCGAGAGAGCCATGAGAGCCATGAGAACCGAGAGAGCTACCAGAACCAGACCGTGCACGAATGTTGTTGTTGGAGGAGGTTAGAGGAGTGGAGAGTCGGAGGCCGTGTATCATTCGTGTAGCTTCTTCAACCGCCTTCTCTTTCTCTTTCTCTTTGTCGGTATCTTTGTCCTTTTCCTCTTCATCCTCCGCACCCTCCCCAATACTCCCCAAATCAAACGGGTTACTCGGCGACGGCAAGTTAACAGGACTCGCAACACACTTCGCTCCCATATCACCATCATATATCGGTTCAAGCCACGCCTCGAAGCGTTCACGTTCCTCATCACCGACATAATCATCGTCAGCGTAATTTGCCACGCGGGCCTCTCCGTCGTCGTACTTCCCCACATTGCCGTCTTCTTCTTCTTCTTCCTCATCACCGTCTTCCTCCTCCTCCTCTAATTCTGGAGGGACGCCCAACGCAGCTTTGAGTCTACTCCAAATAAGCTCGCTCCTCGCTAACACAGACTTTCGCGCTTTCGATACCCATACGCGATCATCCGCCTCTTCGCGGTCTACAGTCTGTAACCACCGCGTAAGCTCTGCAAAGCTCCACTTCGCAGGATCCTCACCAAAGGGTTTCAGAGAAGCATTTGCATCAAACGGGTCTCGCAGACTCTTGGGAAACGTCTGCTGGAGCAAAGCCATCAATCGATTTGTCGGGGCGCTCGTCAGGAGCGCTGTCACTTCTGCGGGCCTTTCAAGGAACGGAAGGTACACTTCGTCTGAGAGAACTAGGAATGGCGTCGTCGCTTGCTGCAGCTGCTGCTGTTGATTTGCTATTGGTGCTGTTGTTCTACCGTCAAGTGACGGACTAGCCAACGGAGGGTTCGAGATCGAGCTAATCGCGAGATCGCATACTTGTTGAGGTGATAATTGCTGGAAGTTCGCGCCACCTCCACCTCCACGTTGGCCTGTCCGATCCAGACTATGACTAGAGTTTCTCCTTGTCATAGGAAACCGACCTCCAGGGGACGGCGGTCCACTCAAATTTGCTGGACCCCCGTGACCTCCTTGTGCAGCATCTCCACCATCCTTATCCTTATTAATAGGCGTAAAGCTCGAAAACGCAAACGACAACCGTCCACGACCTGTTGACGTATTACTCGCCGCCGAATGGGTCGAATGGGTCGAGCCCCAACTCGATCGCTTCTCTCTCGCATTTCCAAGCGCGGTGTTGCTTTGCTGAGGAGGAGGAGGAGAACGCACAGGAAGGATGGTGATCCGACTTGCTTTTCCTTGCGTTGTCTCAATGTCTGCATGTAGCCCGTAAGGATCTGGAGCGGAGGAGGAACCGCGTCGAGAGGAGAGACGACGGCGGGGGGTTGGTGAGACAGTACTCATCGTATCTGAGTTGAGATAGCTTGCTTTATGTTTCTATTTTATTCACTGTTGGTGAGAAGGTGAGTTTCTGTTCGTAGACTGAGGTGAAGATGTACGCAATGCGTGCATGTGGCGAGACTTACCCCACGCAAAGTACAGTTCTACTTTCTTAATGCCACCGACGATCGTAGTCGTGGTCGATGATAGTCTTGGTTCTACTTTGCTCACGACTGACGATGAGAGACGCCGCCAAGGTCGTCATTGTTGCGTCACGGTCTCATCCATCTGCTCATTACTATGATGCCAAACGGGGAGTATTGAGCCGCGCCTTGTTACGTAACCTTCGAAACGTAAATCGTGAGGCGCCTAAATGAATCTATGATTAGTAATAAATATATCACAGCAGTGGAATGTTCCGGCGTTTCACATTCAATACAATACAATATCATTTGCCGTGCGACATCAGCGTTGCAATGCCCACTCACATCATGATGCTTGAACACGCTTCTGTCCGTTTCCCGTTACTAGCAGATCGAATGCGGGCCCATGTCCAACTTTAAGCACTCCACTCCTCCAGATCTTCTCGAATCGACTCTCGCTCGTATCAAGCACCTCGATATCACAGACCATTTATCGTACGACAAAAGTGCACATCCTTTCTCTGGAGGGAGCTACGGGGACATTCGAATTGGAACGTATGATCATCCCGACCGTGGTAAACTTAAGGTCGCGGTGAAATGTCTTCGTGTATTCCATACGCAAACGCCTGAGACATTGAAGGTAGTCTATTCTTCCGAGTACTTGACACTGCGTACTTACTTTCATTCCGAACAAGCTACTCAAACGAGAAGTTCAGATTTGGTCGAGTCTTGACCACCCGAATGTTCTTCCGCTGCTTGGCTATATTTTGGAGGAGAACGACTTTCCGACTCTTGTATCCGAGTTTATGGAAAACGGGACGGCACTGCGATATGTCTCGCAACACCCAGAAATAGACGTTACTGGTATAGTGTGTGATCTCATAATATTGCGGTGCAGAAACTAGCTTGATAGAACAAACAGATCCTTGGCATAGCTGAAGGAATAGACTATCTACACGACAAGGGTATCATCCATTCTGACCTAAAATCGGTTCGACTATTCTTTCGCTGGAATGGAATAGCGGCTTAACTATTGGTTTCTAAGGATAACATTCTCATCTCTCCGGAAGGCAGACCACTCATATGTGACTTCGGCATCTCGCGCGTGATTTCCCTTTCAACTTCGTTCAGCGGATACCCCATCAATGGCCAAACTACAACTGGGAATGTGAAGGGATCGGCTCGATGGATGTCTCCGGAGATTCTATGTTCACCAACCGATCAATCCCCAGCAAAGCACACAATTGAGTCCGATATATGGGCGTTCGGCATGGTGGCATATGTAAAGTCATTGATTGTTTTGGTCTTAATATTGTTCCTCTGACGGATACACTGCACCTTTAGGAACTCTTGACATTGCAAAGGCCATATTACGAGCTAAGTAACGACGTACAAGTAATTTCAGCCATCTGGTATAGCCAGTTGCCGAAGAAACCCGAGGATTATTATACCTGGACATGGAGCAAAAAGACTATTTGGGAGTTATGCAATTCATGTTGGTCAAGAAACCCTGCCACACGGCCAGGGATGTCTACTGTTGCTTGGTTACTCAAAGCTGCTCGTGAAGACACTATTGTGATCATTAATAGAAAGGCAAGCACATTGGAAATATTATGCTAGCTTTGGCTAACGTCCACGTTGACTGAATCCAAGTAGCTGGCAGAGGTTTCACAGATACCATGTTCAAAGTGCATTGCTCTTGAAATGCAAGCATGTGCCTGTGTGAGTACACGAATGAATCTGTGCACTAGCTTCATAAAGCATGTGTTGAGCTTAAATTGCCCTTAGAAAGGAGGCGCAGATGAAAAGCGAAAGGAAGATGAAAAGAAAGAAACTCCCAACACTGGAGCCGTTCCAGGATCTGTGACCAGTGTAAATGTGGGTATTCAATGTATTTTACCGAGATTATCTGTGAACAAAGCGTTAAACAGGACGCTGGGATGAAAGACCTGGATGAATCTGTTGATGACTGTCGCAACCAGCTAGCGCTATCTACTTCTGGCGATCCCTTTTGGCGCGAGTCACTAATAAGTCTTGCAGGCGCTCTTCGTGATCGTTTCAAGAAAATCGGTCGGATGGAGGACTCTTGGGAGGCCATCCGACTCCTCCGCGAGGCACTAGTTCTCATCCCTGAAGGAAGTCCTGATCGTATCGAAATATTCGAAAACATTGCACTGTGTTTTACTGCACGGTTCGAAAGAGCGAACGAATTGAAGGATGTTCAGCAGGCTGTCGCACACTACCGCGCGGCTTTGTCACTTTGTCCCGAAAATGATCCTGACCGTGGCCAATTATTAGCGAGTGCAGGATACGTTTCCAGAGAGCTCGCATTAAAGACTGGACGGAATCGGGACATCGAGGAAGCAATCTCGTTCAACCGCGCCTGTCTTGCTCTGCGTCCACAAGGTCATCCCAATCGAGACATTCCCATGAATAATCTCTCGAATAGCCTGTCTCAGCGTTTCCAGAATAGCAAACGAGATGGAGATATCGAGGAGTCCATCGCACTCGACCGCGAATGTCTATCTCTCCGACCAGACGGCCACTACAGCCGAAATTTGTCGCTTAACAACCTCGGTTATCACTTGTATCTCCGATATGACTGCTATGGCGAGACGAGAGACGTCGAGGAAGCTATGGAACTGTTGCGTGCTGCACTAGTTCTTCGTCCTGAAGGGCATCCAGGTCGTCCCATGACGTTGTGGAACCTTGTCCACTGCTTTGACGCTCGATTCAAACGTCTTGGAGATCCAAAGGATGCTGAAGCGGCAGCAGCATTCCGCCAGGCTGTAAAAGGTTCAGACAAAAGCAAAGCGAAGTAAAGTAATGACGGATACTAATACCAACGACTGATGGGACTCTGCCTCTGTTCATATATATATCTGACGATAGACATTCCCCCATCTGATGTAACTATGTAGCAATATTATTTCCCATATTCAGGATAGAGAATGTTCATTCAAACGTGCTTTATGACCTGCAGGTGTGGTTTGTTTGAGGTCCTAAAGTTGAACGACTGCATACAGTGATACAGATATTGCCTCAGTCGTCCAGAGGGAAGTTTTTTTTTCCCGACAGTTATCGATACACGGAAAAAGAAATCAAACTATTAGGGATAATCACGATGCAGTTCACGTAGCAAAATATTTGTACTGGAGGAAAACTAGACGTGCCACTTCCGCTCGAAATTAATCCTCCCTGATATAACTTTCAAACTCAAACCTCCCGCTTGCCACAAGTCTCTTTTACAAACTCGATCCAAGCGCTGTTGTCGGGGTCAGCACTCCTCCCCGACGTGTTATCGTTTGTAGTCTTTTCCGTGGTGCTAGAAGACCAGGCGCCATTTTGACGAAAATCACTGAGGTTCAATCAGTTAAAACTGATTGAAACTGCATATACCCAGTCAAGAGTGCTTACTTCACTTCTTTTTTAAATTGTTGTCCAAACGACAAAGGTGTTATGGTGAGAGGATCGACGAGGTGATTGATTAATCAAGCATACGATTCCGACAAACATAAACAAAAATACCACTACAGAATAACTCATCATAAACATGCAAGAAGTGTCCGATGATCAAGTGGTCGTGTCAAAGAGCGAAAAAAGTAGAAAAAAGTGAATGAGTGTACAGGGATCTGATAAGTTCTCGTAAAGAGTCCATGAGTGTTAAGTGTAACTGCAAAAAATCCTACAAAAATGGTCGTACATATCGTACCCAAAAAAATGAGAAGATAGCAAAGTAGAGTCAATAAACAAACTCAAAATTCAAACCAAAATCAACGAAGGAGTAGGAATCAATGAACGACATAGCCTCCCTCTCCATTGCCATTACCATTGCCATTACCCCGTCCCTGCTGCTGTGGTCCAGGTGGTCCACCAATAACTCTACTACCAACCTGACCCGGAAGCGGTATCGAATACCCCGCAATCAACGTAGCAGGCAGTGTCGGTAACGGTCTCGAAGGTCGTTTCTGCGGCATAAGGACTGGTACAGGGGAATTGTTGCGCGACTGAGACTGTTCAGCAGGCGTACTCGCTCTACTAGCTGGAGTATGTGTATGCGTAGGAGTAGGAGTTCGAACAGGTACAGGCGGAGGCGTCCCAGCCGTATCCCCAAACGTCACCCTTCTCGCATGTTTCACTCTATCAACTCCTCGATCCCCTCCTCGTTCGCGAGACTTCGACCGCGAACGAAGAGAGCTCGAACTAAAACTCGCTAGTGAACGTAACGATCGTTTCGACCCCGTCCCGCAACTAAAAGCGCTAATCGAACTGGCTTTCGAAGGTGACTTCACATGACCTTTCCCTTCCTTCCCTTCTCCCTTCCCTTTTCCTCGTCCAATAGAATTGTTGGACTTATTGGATTTACCGCTCCTCCTACTCCCTCGTCCCGTACTCGCGCTATTACTCCTCGATGCAGCCGCCGAGTCCAGCCTAAATTCGAGCGCCAAGGGCGAAAGTTGGGGCAACGAAGGTAATTCCGGGAGTGAAAAAGGTGGTGCGGAGGAGGAATCTTGATCTTGTGGGAGGAGTAACTGTTCACTTGAACTAGACGCTTCTTCATTATGTCCGTATTCATACGGACTAGCAAGCTGCACTTCCGGCGGCGGTGGATCAGGTTCGTTATCTTGAGGTGACTGCGGATCCGGTATGGGACCTGAAGAAGGACGTCCGGGTGTTGTTGTTGTTGACCGTGAAGGAGGCTGATGTTGAATGGAAGAAGATCGAGTGGAATGGGAATGTAATGGAGGAGGAGCGGAAAGCGGTGCAACGGTTAAAGGAGGTGAAGGTTCTCGAGGGTAATCTAATGTCCGTCTTTTCATGTTTTTGATAGTTCGTTCAGTCGGACTATCGGGAGGAACCACGATACCACCACCATCACCTTCCTCAGACTCGGTGGTTCCCCTCGTATGCGACGCCTCTCGGCTATCCGCATGTCCCTGACGGCCAAACGTCCCGTGTGTGAGCGTACTCACCCGCCTCTCATCACGCTCCTTATTACTACGATCCGTATTCGTATGCTGAGTACTCGACCGAGAAAGCGAGCCTAACGTAGCCGTAGTGGCCTCCCCAGACAAATGTCGAACATGCCGAACAACAGTACTCGGTCCAGCTTCAGCAGAGGTATCACGTAATACAGCAGCAGGTGACGGCGATGATGAATCTCTCTTAGTCTTGGTAGTAGTTTCTAGACCGCCGTGTTGTTGTACCGACGAAAGGGACGCGGAGCGTACTGATTCTGGAATCGGTGGCATTGACGGTGTACGCCACCACGTCTCGCTCTGTACAGGACTTCCCGTACCAGGCACGAGTGATTTGGGCATCCATGACGGTGAGGGTGTATATGCCGTATTCCTTGGAGTACTTAGAGCAGTAGAAGTAGGCACGGAACTTTTTGATGATGACGACACGAGCGAAGGATAACGGAACGTGCCAAGAGAATTCGCGATTGACATAGATTCAGAAGGTGCAATGGAAGGTGGTCGTTGGAACGCATTCGTTAACGGCGACGTCGGTGGACTCGTTGCTACCAGTGTCGAGTCGCGCGAGGGTTGCTCGGGCGCCGGAATAGGGGGCAGCGCAGCGCTTCTCCTATTCGCGTCAGTAACTAGCCATACGCCAGTACCACTAGTGTCAGTAGTAGCCTCAGGAAACGTCCTCTCATCCGGCTCTAGTGGCCTCCCCAATGACGAGTTGCTCTCATCCTCTTCGTCAAAATTCGGTAGAGTCTGCAGGATTTTCATATTGAGCAACGCAGTCGGCGGACGGCTCGGCGTAGTCCGTCGACCCTGATCGCTCAGAACACCCTGCTGAGGCTGAGTGACCATAGGCACGTTCATATTCACAGCGGCCATCCCACCACCGGTTGTTGTTATTGGCTGTTCTTCAAGGAGCGGCGCTGCCGCATCTTGATGATACTCCGAAACGATCCGCGTATGCGTGCGCCGCGAGCTCGCTCGACTCTCCGTCGTCGAAGTACCCCTCGCACTCCCCCTCCGCTTCCTCCAGCGAATAATAGGCACGAGTATGATTACGAGGAAAAACACAAACGCCAGACTGCCCAATACACCCAACACGACATGGCCCGTAGCACTCCCATCTGTATTCTCTATTGATACCACGGTGACGACCTGTAGATAATAATATCAGCAAAATAAACACATTATTCCCGTTCATGTTAGATTACATGGGATCGACGCTGTCAGATAGGAGAGAAAGAGAACATGTGCACTTACCTCCCGGTCACCGCTCTGCGTAGTCGACATCCGTCACGGCCCACCTCGTCGAATGTTCACCCCAGCGAGGAAAGATGTCGAGGACACAGTGAGAAGAGAGTGGGACGAGAAGGTGGACCCATGAAGATGGAAGCAGTCGGTTTGGTCTCGGTCATCATTGAGAAAAAGGAAACTCGGCTAGGATAAGGCTAAGGAGGGCTATGCTCGCCGTGCCGAGACGGGCGCAGCGTTACTGTAAACGAGTAACGAAATCCCGCTTTAATGAATCAATCCACCCTCCATTCTCTCTAACATATCCATAAGTTCTCTCCTTTCCTACAATATTCTAAGATTATACATCGCGGCTATATGCGCCTTAAAACTGAATAATCTTTGAATACGATCGAATTTGCAAAAAATAAAGTCTGATTATATTACCCTTCGAACCGGGCCGATCATACAAATTCAGGGTCTTCCGATCACGAAATATACTCAAATATATTCAGATGATGCGGTCGCGGGGCTTGAGCGGTCGTTAGGCACTTTCAATTACAGTGGCAGCGGAACACACTCCGAGACTGAGCACCGTTGCGGAGACAAGCATCAGTTGCAACGAATGTTGATGGGCCTGGAGGTTACTGTCGAGGCGCCCCTTGCAGCCAATACCCACAACCGGCCACTTTTACTATTCCTACCCCATTTCTTGCTCCAATTTCATAAAATTTTGTATTTATGTAGCTAGACATCTAATAAGTATATATCTGAAATTTTGAAGCAAAAAAAGCAGTAGAAAAAAAGATATTGTACTTATAATCTGACAACTATGAAAAATTGAGCTTTTGAGTGAAACAGATTCTTTCCCACAAAATGTATATCCTATAATAATTCAAATAATTAATATTTTGAGTTGTAACTTTGTAAACTTATGTACTGGTATGTTTATTATTAGTATGTTTTTTTTGTAGAAGAGTCAATTAAGTTTTAAGTAAGTTTTAATGAATCTCACTATTAGTCTAATTTGATAGAATATAATTTACTAATTTACTAATCTCTTACTTTATAATTTTTTATACATAATTCTACTATTACAACTAGTAAAATAAAGTTAATATTTATAATTATATATATTAGAAGTATATATTTACCAAAAATCATAACTTAAAATTAATGACTTTAATTTATATTAAGTTATTATATTTACAACTATAAAAATTATAGTTATAATAAGTATTAGTATTAAAACAACTGTTTTTATTATAACAACATCCATCATCAACATTAATCCATCTCCCAGGAACAATAAAACAAGGTGTTAGTGAGTAACAGAACTGTAACAGTAGAGAGTGTGTAAGATTGTAGTAAAGGAGGAAGAGTTAAATTAGCTTTAATGTAAGATAACAGAACACTTACAACTGTGTGAAGAGAAAGAGATTGCTGAGCAAGCTTGACAACCTGGGTATTAGGAGGAGAATGACAGAACAGTAGAGGAACAGTAGTAAATTCTGGAAGTAGAGGAGGAGAATAAGAGGCAGAGGAGAGTAAGAAGTAGACTGTAGAACATACTAGGTAAGAGACTCCAAGTCATTACAACAAGCCTGTTCCTGTAAAAAGAAGTATATAATCTGTTAATAAATAGATTGTATATAATTAGATAAATCAATTACTTATGACTCTACCCAGACAAAAGTAAATTGGTCTGGATAGGATTAAAGTCAAGTCTGTATACTAATTATATGTGTGTACAGTTCTGTGTAAGTTCCCTTTCCTACAGGGTGGCCACTTGTTGTTAGTGACAGTGTAGAGGGGACCTGAAGGCTTAGTGAGGGGACCCAGGCTACTACTATCCTACACAACAGAAATACAGAATGTAAGTACTAGAACATAGT